AAGCTCTGCCCATCCAGGCTCTGCAGTTTGTCTCCAGCTATGCCCCAAACCAGATGCTCTCAATGAAGACGCCAGGAGCTGCCTTAATAAGCGCTTATGCAATCCTTCTCACACTGAGGAAATGTCTTTCCCAATCCCCAGCCATTAGCAGTTGGCTGATGCCCTGGAGCAGGACATTTTAGAGCCCTTGTAAATTTGCTTCGGGAGTGGAAAGTGGTTGGAGGAGGGAAAGGTGCTGTTTTTTGTCAGGGACCTGCATCACCCGGAAGCTCTTCTCTGCTTCTCCCCGTGAGTGGAGAGGGGCCACCACATGTGAACCCTCAAACCCTGCCTCAGGCCAGGGGATCGAGGATGGGAGAATGAGCGGCACCTTCTACCCCGGGGTCAGCACCTGGCCCTAGGGCTCTGGGGGCCAGTGTTGGTCTCAGCAGGGAATCTGGGTGGGGAAAGAAGAGGTTTTAGGGTAGAAGCATCACTCCTGCCTCAGTGCAAAACTTCCTCTTGGATTAAGAGAGGTCAACCGGGGAGCAACTAGACAAGCTCTCCATGCATGAGGCTCACCTGAGCTGCTCATGGACTGGGATTTTCTGTTATCTCCAGTTACGTGTCTGTGACAGGTAATGTAATATAAACATAAATTCCCTTCAGGTAGAGCCTTCTTCCACCCATTCCCATGGCAATCAGAGGGGGGAACAAGCACTGTTTTAAGTAAGACTAGGAGCACTCGTGCCAGCTTGGAGCAACGATTCTGGGGCTGGTTCCATCAGCGAGCGGCAAGGCTGCCGTTCCCTCCCCTTTGCCTATTGTTTGCATCCAAACCTGATTGCAAATTGACATGAGCCGTCTTTGGGGAGCTGCTGGTCCGGCTGCTCCGTCAGCACAATGAGCCGTTGTTGATCCGGCCGCAGCAATTTTCCAGGTTAATTTATGGCCGCCACACCCCATTAGTGGCAATAAATGTGGAGCCCGGTTTTGCCGAAATTGTGAGTTACGATTTTTCAAATAAATACATTTTCCTATAAACCAGTGCTCTGTTTAGTTTGAGTGTTCCTCACAGACACATCCATCTACATAAAATACACAGGAGAGGAAGCTGAGCTGTGACTTTGCTCTGATGACATAGAAACTTTTGTAAACACAATGTCACTTACAGTACTAGCAAAGAGAGAGCCCAAAAAATAAACAGTGAGTGCCTGGTGCATCCCTTCAGGAGTACACGGAAAATTTAATACTTTTTTCCGTAAGGCTTTGTTTTCCTTTTGATTTATCCACGCAGGACAGTGGCTGTTTGGCCATAAATAGATGGTATTTCTTGAGGGGCAATGGTTGCAGCCATCCTGTATGTCGCCGGAGGGGTGGCGTGGGAGGCGTGTGGGCAGAGAAGATGCTGCTGAGAACAGGAGCATCCGGCCACGCCACTGTGTTCACCCTCAATTCCTCCTGCTCCTTTAGTGGGGCTTTGACAGAGTGAATCCCACTTGGGCTTGCTTCTGTGATGCTGGTGCAGGATCAAGCAGCCCAGTGATGTAGTTTGGAGGACTCGGGCAGTGTGTGGGCACTGGAGGGCACAAGCACGAGCAAGTGTGAGCTCCCCTGCACCCCAACACTCCCCCACCCCTGTGAGACCCAAGCTGGTGCAGCAGGACACGTGTGGCAAACCCTCACGGGGAGGAGGGATGCCCTTAGTGGACTTCTGCAGCCCAGCCTTAGCCGTGACCCCGGGGCTGAGTTTATTTCTGATCGAAATGACCAAATTTGATTTCATTCACTTCCGCAGGTTCTCTCCCTTTTCACATCACCAGGAGGGAAATAATCCCCCAGAGCAGCCTCCTGCACCTCTCCTTGAAGCAAACTCTGCTCGTGCCTCAGTTTCCCAAGGCTTTTTGCCACCCTCTCCCAAGGTCTCCAGGAGCAGAACTGTTAGGAAGGTGCTGAGTGATTATTATTGTATTATTCCAGGCAAGTGCTATAAATACCCAGGGGCACCTTTAGACACAACCCAGCTGCCCAGGGGAGCTGGCTCAACCCTGCTCTGTGCCTGTGGTGGTTGAGGAGGGAATCGAAGGCAGTGGCTGGTGTGGAGGTACCTTGGGAATAACCTGATGGGGGGACATGGTGGGGGGCTGTGGGGTGTTGGGGATGAGACCTTACCAGCTGCACCCCAGGGCTGCAGTGGAGCTTGGGTTGGGGGGATGTGGGTGCAGGAAGGTGCCGGGATGCTGCAGGGAGATGCTAACAAGGAAGACAAGGGGAATATTTTACGGGGCTGCAATGTAAACAGAGCTGGAGCAGAGCCCCTTTTTATGGAGTCCCTGTCCTGCCAGGGCATCTGCCAAGGCCCTGATTTACGCTCCTATTTAGATAAGGGAGCCGGAGGGGGGGAGCAGAGCTGGCGTCAAAGTCACAGGACACCCGGGGCTGCCGCTCCCCGGGCGCTGATAAGGAGGTGGCTGAGGGGCCGGGGCCAAAACCGCAGCTCCCGTCCCGGGACAGGGGACGGGTTCAGAGCTTGGTGGCTCCTGCTGGGGTTGGGGTGCCGGGGTCCATGGAGACCCAGGATAACCTCACCCCCAACATTCAGCACTGGCCCCCTCACCATCACCTGGCCATGGGGGCAGGAAACCTTCCTCGGGAATGAAAGCAGGTGGAGGTGGTTCTTCCTGTCATCCCAGTAAATTTCCTCAATCTGAACTGCTTGGCACTTTCCCCCCATGCAAGTGGGGAGGTGAAATTAAAGAAACTCACCAAAAGTTTGAGACGTGCTAAATTTGGACGCCATGACAAAGGCAGTCTGGTTTGATTTAGAAGGTGTCGGCATGAAAAGGGCTCTGGTTTTATTATTTTATTAAAACACGAAAGATTAGAATGATTTTCCAAAGGAAAATCAACCCTCTGGTCCCATTATTTGCTCAGCTGAGCACTTCCCAAACTCTGCAGGGTGCAGGGACCTCCGTCAGGGTGTGGATAAAGCAAGATAATGCCCAGGCTTGGGCTGGGCTTACCTGGCTCGGTGGCCAGAGTCTGGAGGTGGCTCTGGTGCACATCTTGAGGTGACAGCTCTGAGCTGGACATTGCTGTGAGTGGCCTGTGCAATGCAGGGCTAAGGGCATGAAAGGGGTATTTTTTGGGAGGGGTGTTTTCTAGAGATGGGGTTAAGTTGCACAGACTCCATCCTGCCTGCTTGCTGAATCAGGGCTTTTACAGGGTTGGGGAGAAGCTCAGTGAAGAGCCTGGCTGGTCTGTAAAGGAGAGCAGGGTTCCACAGGTCTGCCAGCATCGGGGGGTGAGGCACGAAGTGATACCCCTGAACCTCACCCAGGTGGGCACTGGTTCCCACCAGCTCTGAGCTGGGCTTGAGGATCCCACCCAGCCACGGGAGTTTTGAAGGAAATCGGGGACACGACACCCTACCCAAGGGCTGAGTCTAACGGGAGAGTAATCACTAGCAAATGTTTGGAGGGCGCTTGTTTAAAGGGGGTGGAGAAGGGGGGCTTTGCAGCAGCTGAGAACAAAGCGGGGGGAACAAAGCTGGGCAATCCGGCACGGCCGCTCCCCCCCAGACGCCAGGGCCCGGCAGAACCGGAGACCCGCTTGCACCCTGCCCCGGCCCCCCCAGCCTCCTGCCTTTGCAACCCGCCTTGTAACAACTAACGATGGAAAATCCGAGGCATTTAAGTGGCTCCCGAATCCACCCGGGAACCGTGATTGAGAGAAGTCAAATAAAATTTGTCATCTTTAAAATGCAGGAGGACGTTAATGGTGTGTTAGCCCGGATGATTAATACAAGCGCCTGCAAACAACCCTCCAACGTTTCCACCCTCCGCTGCAAGATGAATCGCTGGAAAGCGCCGTTAATCGCTAACATACCTCGGGCCCAAAGCCCCTTCCTGCCCCGCCGTGCTGTGATCGCCACCGCCGTGCCCAGCCTGTCCTCACTGGGAGTCACTGCGGCAAGAGCAGGGGTCGGCCCCAACCCCACCCGGCCGGGCTGGGGGTGAAGTCCTCCTGGGAATCTGTCTCCCATGGGTGCAGAGACAAGTGGGATTGCTGTCCACTGCAGGGCCCCACGCTGGACTTGGGTTTGGGAGCTGCGGTGAAATACAAGATCCCAAACCCAGCGGGCTCCCCCAGACCTTTCGTGGCCAGGCTGGGACAGGGAAACACAGGGCAGGTCCCCACTCTCCTATCATAAATAAGTTTGTGTGTGTGGATGGTATCATTTTAGTGCATTTATGTGTCCATGCAGTGTCTGTGGATGGGTGTGCAGTGTACACACGTGTGTTTATATGCCACACGTGTGATATGTGTGTGTGTGCAGTGTGTCTGTATGTAATATACATACGGTGGCACTGTGTGTGCAGCATCTCTGTGCTGCCGGTGTATGTAATATACGTGGGTGCAGTTACATGTGTGTATGTGTGTGTGTAACATGTTCATGGTGCGTGTGTACAGCACAGATGGTTGTGCAGTGTATGCAGCATCTCTGTCTGCGGTACCTGTGAGAAACACACCCAGTGTATTTCTGTGAGCAGCACACAGCCACGGTGTAACCACACACATGTGCAGGGAGCATTTGCACAGCGTGGGTGTGCTGTACACGCCTGCAGTGCACATCTGTGTGCAGCTGTGCAACCCATGGAGCAGCCGTGGGCCATGAGCCCCATGTACGGGGAGGGAGCTTACACCCCATCCCTGCCATCCCGAACCCCGGGGGTGCCCAGCCCGTTTTCCCTTTGGTGCCTTCGCCCCCTCCTCTCCTCGGCTCCCCCGGCTCCCCGGGCGCGGCCCCGAGCTCCCCGTGCTGCCCAGCCGCCCGCCGCGCTCCCGCGCTCCGCTCCCACGGGACGAGCCTGCCGCGGTGGGGAGTGGGGGATCGGCTCGTTGGGAAGAGAAAGCCCAGGGGATCACTGCGGCCGGAGAGCGCACAACGGCCGCGGCGCGGCCGTCGTGAGGTCTAGGACACCGGGCTCCCCGCCCGTGCCGCTCTCGTCCGCCGCCGGATGCGCGGCGGTTTCGGGGGGCTCGCGCCCCGGCCCGCGGGAGCGGGGATGTAAGTACGAGCGGAGGGGGGGGTCCCCTCAGGTCGCTTCTCATCCCCTTCTCCTGCAGCAAGGAGCAGGCGGGGGACTGAGGGCATAGGCGGCGGAGGTGTGAGGCCCAAACCCCCGAGCTCCGTAGCGCGAGCGGCAGCCCCTCGCCGCCCCGCTCGCACCCGGTGGCCCTGAGCATCTCACACGAGGTGGCCAGTCTCTGCCACTGGCTCGCGGCGGGGGCCGCGGCCTATATAAAGGCAGGGTTGGAGGCTCCGAAGGTTAAAAAAAAAAACAAAACCAAACCAACACAACCAAAACCAGACGCGACCGCCACCAAACCCCACAGCAGCCTGTCCGCCCGCGCCCCGCGCCGGACGCCGCGCTCCCCGCTGCCACCGCGCCCGCCGGGGGGAGCGCCCGCCGCCGGCTCATGGCCGCTGCTGAGCGCCCCTCGGGGCCAGCGGCGGACCATCGAACCTGGTGGGGGGCTATCCAGCACGCACGCAACACCACATCACCACCAAATGCTGCACGACCCTTTCCTTTCGGGCGGCGCGCGTGTCACCAGGAACGCAAATACTTCCCCGGCTGGGTCTCAACCGGCGAGGGGACGCGAAGCTCATGCCGGGCAGAGCCGTAGCTACGGCCCCGCCGAGTAGGGCCGGTCCGGCCCGGGGCGGCTGGAGGCTCTCAGCGGCCGCCTGGGACGGCGAAAAGGAGTCGGGGGACCCAAGAAGGAGCGGAGGAGGACGGAGAGCATCAACAGCGCCTTCGCAGAGCTCCGTGAGTGCATCCCCAACGTGCCCGCCGACACCAAGCTCTCCAAGATCAAGACTCTACGCCTGGCCACCAGCTACATCGCCTACCTGATGGAGGTGCTGGCCAAGGACAGCCAGCCCGGGGACACCGAGGGCTTCAAAGCCGAGCTCAAGAAGGCCGACAGCAGGGAGAACAAGAGGAAAAGGGAGACGGTAAGAGGCGGACCGGGACCTGCGTCCCCACTCTCCGTGGGCCGGGATCGGGAGGGGAAAGCCCCGTAGCTGGGGGTGAAAAAATCTCCAAACTCTCCCAGCCCCGCTGGAGCCTTTTTTTCCAGTGTAAAAATAAATAAATTTAAAAAAAATCCGTAGAGGGAAACTCGGAGGAAAATAGTCCGCCCAACTTACCCGGAGGGTTCCCGACAGGCCGGAGAGGCTCCCGGGCGCTTTCCCCGAGGGATTAGCCCCCGGGACCGGGACTGGCCGCGGCGGAGCCTCCCCAGGTCTGTCCTTCACCTCTCCCGGGAGGTCTCCAGGGAGGAGCAGGCGCGGGAGTGTTTCGGAGCAAAGGCAGCCGCTTCTCCCCCTGCTGCAGCGGGTGGGTGGGGGAGCGGGGCCCCCCAAAACCGTTTTTTATCCACGGGCTGGTAGAGCCGCTCGGAGCCGCGGGGCCCGGCTGCAGCTCTGCGGAGGGCGCAAGGGTCGGGCGGGCGGCCCGGGACCCCGCTCCGTTCCTGACCGCTCCTTTCTCCCCCCTCTCCCCATCTCCTCTCCCGCAGCAACCCGAGGTCTACTCGCAGCCTCTGGGTCACGGCGAGAAGAAGCTGAAGGGCCGAACGGGTTGGCCCCAGCAGGTCTGGGCTCTGGAACTGAACCCCTGAGGGCTGTCCCGGCGCCCCGACGGCGCTCCCCGCTCGCCCCTCCATGTGCAATGTCGGAGATCCTGGCCTGGCCCCGGAGTCCATCCAGGCGCAGGATGCGGGGACCTGGCCTGGCCGCCCCCCTCCCGGACGGATGCTCCGCGGGAGAGAGGCGAGAGCGCTTTGCGGGGCCAGGTCCTGCTCGCCCCGCCGGCAGCGGGGACCGGCCGGGCCCTTTCCCCGTCGCTCCTTCCCCCGTTTGCAGTAATCGTTGCTCCTTCCCGCTGCCAGCAGCGATCGGCGGCTCCTGCCCTCCTGGGTCGGGCTAAAACGGTTCGATTCGTTTGCTGTTGTAAATACGAGTCCCCGACCCCTACCCGACCCTGTCCGCTGCCTGACTAACGTGTGGGTGCGGTGAAACTACCTAGAGGTGCATTTGGGAACACTCCTGTGCCGGGTTTTCTACCTCAGATCTGCATGACCACTTCCCGAGGGACCGGGCGCGCCACACCACGTATTTAAAACTGAATAACTAAAAAAAAATAAAAAATTAAATAAAATAAAATTTAAACTTTATGCAAACGGTCTCGGGTCCGAGCCCTCTGCCTTCCCCTGCTCCGGCAATTGTGCAGCTGCAGCCGGGCCCCCTGAGTCGTCCGCGGGGCGAGGGGTGTTGCGGGATTAAGGACCCCTCTGAAGTCAGTACTCTGCTGTGGAGCCGATCCATGCGAGGGAATTCCTCCCCGGGTGCCTTGGGCAGCTCCGTGGGATCCTTTGGGACTCGTTTGTGCCGTGCTTGCTCACCCCGGGAGCTGGCGAGGCTCTACAAACATGTACCCGCAGTCTGCCCCAGGCCACGAACTTTGCCCCTGCCCTACAACCCCTTCCTCCCCGACTCAGGAGACCTGCTAGAGGAACTGAACTCGTATTTGGCCTGGGGAAGGATAGCAGGATCAAGCCTCTACAGCGTCTGTATGGCACGAGCACCGGTGAGCTGTGGAGTGCCACTTTTATTGCTGCCACGCAGAGAAGCAGGACTCGGCTGCCCTTCCCTGCCCAGGCAGCTCGCCCGGCTCTGGCACCAGGAGCACTTTCTCCCAGGGATCCCCTCTTAGGTGCTGCCTTGGGCACATTTTGAAAGTACAACATCCCCTCTTCGCCATCCAAATGCGATGGATATCACGAGGCTCAGACAGCCTAAAGTCATCTCTGCCACCTCTCAGGCATAAACCCTTAATAATCCTTAGTAATTAGAGCCAAATCCTCATTCCTTTATTCTGTGCACACACGTTTCTCCTACCAGAGACTACCAAGACGTGTGTGCACAGGCTCAGGGCCTGATCCTGACTTCCCACGCCGTTGTTTCCAGAGACACCAGGATAAATCCTTACACTCGTCTGCTGCTCAGGGCAAAGAAAACCAACAGAGGGAAAACTTGTACATTATTGTAGAGCTAATCTGAGAGTTCAGCAGGGAGCTTTACATCTGCTATTTGAAACCAAGCTTTTGATTGCGACCAAAGGTGTAGAAATAATGATGCAGCATCTGTAAAACGCTGACATGTCGGTCAATCTGCTTGTGCAGCCACACACACCGAAAATACCCCAGCTCACCCGTGGGGAAGCAGCTCGGGTTTTACAGCAATTTTGTGGGTGTGTACAAATACAGACGGACAGACACACAAACTTTTGGGGGTCCGGCCAGCGTAATTAAATCTTGATGAAGGATCTGGCTGCATGAATCAGTCTTCTTTCGCTCCAGAGCCGCTGCAAGGCTGCCTTCCCAGCCCCTGATCTATTTTACGATCTCTTTGAGGCTGAGATAAAAATTGACTGCCTGAGAGAAGCAATGCTCGTAGTGGTTTTTTTTTGTTTGTTTGTTTTGTTTTGTTTTTTTGTTAGAGCTATAAAAAGTTTAGTATGGTACCAATTTCAAGAGTAAAGTTAGAGAGTAGGGCATTCGTAAAACCAAACTCATTCAGGGGGGGAAAAAAAAAAGAAAAAGAAAAAAAAAAGAAAATTTACAGAAAATCAGCCCCAACTATCCTATTTTATGGCTAAGTTTCACAGTCCCTTAAAGTGCCGGGTTTTTACGGGAAAGCTCCTAAGCCATCACTAACACTGTAATCCAGCGCCTCACAAATGTTTGGAGCCCCAGTCTGTTTACGTGTGCCAGCCGGTATCCCTGTATCCATACGGCACCAGTCGGGGCCGCCTCTCCGCAATGGATGAGGGAAAGGGTTAAATGGGGACCTGGGACTTGCTTTGCTTCGTGAGGCAGGGGCGACTCTGCACAGGAATCGTGTCCTTGGTCCCGGCACACCAGGTTCCATCTGGAACATCGCCCTCCGCCTACAGACCTTTTACTCCACCAAAAACTTCCACTGTTTTTTTATTTTACGGCTTTCCAGCTCTGCTTCTGGGAAGAGGCACCCTGCACCGCCGGGCCGATGTCCTGCATGCATCCGCAGGAATTTTGCTTTTCTTACCACAGGTTTCTGTTGTTGGTACCTGCTGGCTGCAAACTTCTAGGGAAGGTGTCCCCCGTGCCAGCCTCCCCTGCTCCTTCGGGATTTTGCAAGTGAAAACGCTCTCCGTTCCCACGGCTGCAGAGGATTTCCCTGCCCAGCAAGGGGGTTTCCGCGTGAGATATTGTTTCCGTGTTTTGGGGGAGAGTGGGTAAAAAAAAAACAAACCACAAAACAAGGCACTAAACATTTCCTGTAGCCAGGGACTTCCCTGCTCCCCAGAACGCTTTGGAAGGGCTGTATTTCACGGGAGCGAGTTCCATCCCACCTCGACACCGGGCACGCGGTTCCGCCGCGCCGGGGCCGGGAAGTGGAGTCCAGGCTGGGCTCAGAACCGGTTCCAGCCTAGGATGGGGTCACTCCTTCACACCCAAAGGGAGAGGAGCTGCAGGGGAGTGGGAGCCCTGCACAGGAGCAGCTTCCCTTCCTCCGGCAGCGAACCTGAGCGGCTGGGAACGGAGTCTCGGCAGCCCCTGGCAGAGCTCCCGGTGCTCCCTGCACCAGAACTGGATGGAAGAAGAACGGTTTGGCCACCAGCTTGGAATTTTTGGCTATTTAGGTGCCTAGCTCATCGGTCAGGGGAGGTGGCCCTGCACACACCTACAGCGCGACCCTGCCGTGAACTTGATGCCGTTGGAAGCAGCTCGCTCCGGGCACGCCGGCTGGAGTCGGCAGTTGCCTGGACAGAAGCACACGCGCGCCGGGATCGCTTGGCCCGGGGCAGCATCATACGTGCCATGTTCCCTGCCGCTGGAATCCAGCCACGAGGGACAGTGGAGGGGACTCTGGTGCCTGCCCTGGCCAAGGGGCAAGGGCTGAGGGGAAGAGGGGTTGTCGAGCATTTCCTAGCTCTTGCTCCGCACCCCTAGGGTTTGGTGTGCAAAGGAATGGCTCCCTTTTTGCCTTTTTTTGTTGTTGTTTTTCCCCTCCCTTTCTGCCAAGCCCAGACCCTGCTTCTTGTTGTTGTAGGTATTTATGGGCCTGTTTATCTGATCTCGGGGGAGCCTATTCTTATCTCAGAAGCAGCAAGGGAAGGGTTACACTGGACAGCTCGGTAGACAGGATGGAGCCAAATAAAATACCAATCTGACAAAAAAAAAAAAAAAAAGGGAAAAAAAAAAGAAGGGGGGAAGAAACACCCAGCCCCAGCCACCCGCTCACCCACGAGTCCAGGCTGCCAGCTGGATTTGCCAGCCCCAAAACAGCTGCTGGGTTCAGGCAGACAGCACAACACCGGCACAGAGCAGAGGAGAGCGTGGTGTAATGACCCTGAAAGATGGGAAGAAAAACTAATTAAAAAAGTTTGAGGTCGGTCTTACGGCCGTTCTGTTGTGATGCTGCTGTTCGCTGTTTCCTTGGGGTGAGCACAGAAATGTCCCAGCTCGGGCTCAGAGGCACAGCCGGCCCCAGCCTGGCAGGGACTCACTCGAGGTCATCCCGAAGGTCACGGCCAGGGCCAGCACTGCTGCCTCCCGTCAGAGGGCCCCTCTGGGCTGGCCCCACAGGGCTGGGGGAGGTGTGGGACAGGGGCAGCTCCCTCCGGACAGCACCCTGGCAGGGAGCAGCAGAGAGCCCCACCTCTGCTTGGCCTGTCTGGAGCCCAGGCATGCAGCAGGGCTGGGTCAGAGTGAGCAGGATGGGATGGGATAAGATAGGATGGGGCTCGGTGGGATGTGCTCTCCTGCCGTGCCAAGCAGGGGAACAAGGGCAGCCTCATGTCAGGGGTACCCCCGCTCCTTGCCCCCTCCCCACCCCACACCCCACTAATTACCGCTCTTAAGGAAGCGCCTGCTAGTTCAGGCCACTTAAGGTAGCCCCAGCCCCTCTCAGTAAGGGGAATTGGGCCATAATTTGTTTTCGGTGTCAAGATGGCGTCAAAGATAAGACAAAAATCTCCAGGTTTGGGGGCTAAAGAGACAGGAGAAATCCTGACCCGGGGCCGACCTCGGAGGAATGGCCACAAACCCCAGTGAGTCACATGGCAGGTGAAAGATTTACTGCCAGGGGAGCTTTTTGATCCTCTCCCAACACTCGGAGCCTCTTAGCCCAGTTGCCGGCTCCCAAGTCAGACTGTCTCCTGGGAGCACTGCTCAGGTGGAAAGATTTTCTATCCAGCTGAGGCCCCCCCCCAGATGCAAAGTTCATGACATGCAACAGCTCTTCCTCAAATCTCTGTGCTCCTGGAATCACGTGATTCTGAGATTCATCTGAAGAGAAGATGCATTTCTAATCCATAGCTGTAGAAATTATATCCAAGCATGGGAAGACTCTGGAGCCACAAGGCAGATGAAGACTCTAACTTTTTTAGTTTCTTGTTTTTATTTTATTTTCTAAACCAAATCCAACTCACTGGGTTTTCACCCCTATGGCAGTACCTGCTTGGGACTGAGCACTGAGCTCTGCCCAGGGTATATTTTTCCATGCAGCTGTCCTGTGCTGCAGTCCTGTCTCCAGTCCTGTGCTGGGAGAAGACCAAGAACCCTGCACCTCGAGACAATTTCCCCAAGACCGTTCCTCAAACAATGGACAAACTAATCATCCATCCCATGTCCCTACCTCTCCAAAGCCAACCTGCATTGCTCCTTTATTCCAAGAAGGCCCTTCCCCCAGTGCAGAGGGTTGTGAGAAGTGTGTATTTACTCCTTTCACAAGATTCACATGCTTGGGGTGGGGTTAGCCATGGTCACCATGGTTTTCTGCAGAATGACCTGTCCTCATCCTGCTCTGTGGACAATCACCTTAGCAAGGACCTGCTGATTTTTCACTAATCTTCTCTCATGACATCTCAGCACAGCCCTCAGGTGAAGCTGGGCGGTGGGGGGTGGCACAGAAGCCCACTTGTGTCTCACACAGCAGCTGGATTTGAGATCCAGGATGGAAGCTGGCTTGGAGCTGGTGGAGCACCAGTGCCATACAGCTCAGGGCAGGACTCGGTGCTGTTCCCACAGCTCTGTGATGCTGGACAAGCTCTGCCTCTCCTGGTTACTCCAAAGCTGAAGTGCAATAACAAACCTGCAGATCAGAGGGGCCAAGGAGCCAGATGGAGCTGCTGGAGCATGAGTGGGAAGCACAGGCTGGGAGGAGGGCGTTCACTGGTGAGAGGGGAGTGAGGGACAGTTACCCAGGAGGCTTGAGCTGAGAGACTGCAGAGCAAGAAACCATGCTTGGAGCCTTGCTGAGTCCTTGTGACAGATCCCTGAGGTGGGGAAGGCCCTTGCTTGCAGTTTCCTCTTCCCCTGCTTCTTCTTTTGCGTGAGGAATTCAGGTCCTGACCACCCTGAAAGACTTTACAGTAACCAGAGTAGGGGAATTTATGGCGTCACTCGTGGTTGAAAGCTGAGGGATTGAGAGGAAAAGGGTTTTTTTTCCTTAGACTGGAGCTACCTTGACAAAATTCTCATGGCCTGGGACTGACCTGCAGGAGCAGCTGAAGGGGAAGCGGGGACCAGAGCAGGCTGGTTTAATTGCCTTGGCCAGGAGCTCCTTCCCAAGCTGAGATGTGGGAAGGAGTTACGAGTCTGAGTTATTGCACAAAGCTTGTGTCAACTCTGAAATTCCCTCCTCTGCTCACCTCCACTGTTTGGCTTCCACTGCTTTGGTCTGCTGGCTGATGGAGAGAAGGAGGGCAGGCTGTGCACTGGGACTCATCAGCTTGGCTCCAACTCGAGCCTGGGCTGCTGTGTTCAACAAGTCACCTGACAAAATGCCCAGGAACCAAGGCAGCTGCTTAGAGCTGAACCCACACGATTCCATACCCAATGCCCTTAAGGATCTTTTAGATTTCTCAGAACGTGGCATAAAAAGGTGGGAAGGCCCTTGTGGAGATACCTTTGTTGCCTTGGGGAGTGATGAAGGACTTGGAGAGATGAGCAGCTGAGAGGAGTGGGGAAAATAGGATCAGGAAAAGGAGAGAAGGGAGGAAGACAAGGATTAGCCTGGAGAGGGACAGCATCTCCCCAGCACTGTAGTTTGTCAGTACCCAGTGCTATCACTGTGCCAGTGAAGGCCTTCAACCTGCTTTTCACCCCCAGGAAAAGGGAGCCAGAGAGGGCTGAGGTGAGTCAAGGCCAGCAGTAGTGAACCAAGAGCTCTGCACTTACAAAGGAGTCAGGGTTTATGGCCAGTAAAGTGGAAATTGCAGGAACAAATTAAACAACTTGGTTCTGTTGGAAAGGTGGACTGGACAAGGAAGAGCTCAACAGTCCCATTTTGGACCAGTGGGATGTTAATGGGATGCCCATCACTGTGCTCTCTGGTCCCTGGCAGTCCATACCTGTGGTAGGAGAAGCAGCAGAGCCATCTCAGCTGCCTGACACTTCCCTCTTCCCCACAGCACCATAGTGTTCCCTGCTGAGGGTGCTGTGGTGATCATGTAGTGCTTCCTGCAACACATAAAGGCAACAGATCTTGCAGAATATTCCCCAAAAAATTAAGTAAAAGCACACTGGGGGTGTTTGAAGTACTTGCAGAAGAAAACAGCACTGCCTGCAAGGGTAAGAGGTGGGAAATTGACTCCAGCCCCTGGCAGAGACTGAGTGCTCCTGGAACTGTGCAGTTATCCCTTATTGGATAGAGGGGAAATAAATAAATTACAAAAAAAAAAAGAAAAAACAAAACAACACCCTGAGGCTGTCCCCCCCCACACTCCTCCTGCTCAACCACATCTCTAAGACACAAAACCATTAAATCCACATTCACATTTTTCCCCAGTCCTCTGTGCTGCCCTCTCTGCTGGGGAGAGCACAAGTGATGCCTGGTTTCCATCAAGGCTGCGAGGAGTCCGCAGGGCAGCTCACGCAGAGGATCGGACGTGTTCAATTTCAACGTCCAACCAGGGGGAAAAAAAAAAACCCCAAACCCAAACAAACCATTTTTATGATCTCCACATCCCAGCACAGCATAATCCCGCTTCCGGTCTCTGACAAGCACAGCCAGCTCCTGCCGAGGAGGCATTTTTGGGATGGGGACACGGCCCTGGTGCCCCCGGCAGCTGCCCCGGGCTCGGAGGTGCAGCTGCCGAGCACCCACCTCCCGTGTTCCTGAGCTAACACTGCCCTCACACGGCAGCCGGCAGTGCAGAGAGGGATGTGCAGTTTTCAGCTCATCAGATCAATCTGCTGGTTCCTCAGTTTCTCAGTGTGGTTATGTTAAAAAGACTGAGCAGATTCTGCCTTGGTTTTGAGCTTCTCCTGTGGGTCTCTTGGCAGGGAGCAAACGTGAGATTAAGTCACATTATTCGTTGGCCTATGCAAATAACAGATTAACTGGCAGCATTTATTTCTATCACAAGTTACCCTGGGATGCAGGATGGGGTGAGAGGGCAAGTGTCCCCTACAAGGGCCACAGCAGTATAAATGGCATATTCCCATTGAACAACAATAAGGAGACAGGTCTTTTGATTGTAGGACACCACCAAGGTATAAGGAAGGATACAGGAGATGTTGTGGGATTGTTTCACGGAGAATTATCTGTGCAAATCTCTACTGCACATCAACAGTGCAATTTCACAGAACCACAGAATATGTGGAGTTGGAAGGGATCCACAAGGATCACTGAGTCCAATTTAATTTGACAGTGATAAATTCTGGCCTTGTATTTTAGGTATAAAGCTTTCAACATTCAATCATCCTCCTCTGTAAGAGCCCAAGTGTCTGAAAAGCTATACTACTTCTTTCCTGGCTAAAAATCACGGGTAAAGCATGACTCAAGCCAGTGCCAGCACAGCTTTTGGAAACACCATGACAGGGTTCAGAATGAGTACTCAAGTTTCTGGCATCACTCGCTTCTTCACTGCAGCAAAAAAGTGAGGCACCTTTATCTGTAAGGCTGATGGTCATGAGGAATCACAATTTGGGAAAAGAAACAAAGCACTTAATGGGAAAGGATCTTGAGCACTGGGATGCTACATGTCAGCATTGCTCTGGTGTAGCACCCACCTTATCAGTTGGACATGCAGCTTTGACTCTGGACAACATGAGCCATAAGTCATGTGTAAAACGAAGCCAAGGCTGTGCTTGAGAAGCAAGCAGAAGCACAGGGCTGAACTAGACGTAAAGAAGACTCATTAGGAAACATGAATCAAATGAGAAGCCACACTTGACTGACTGGAATGATACTGGAGGGGAGGATCCCCATCATAGAAAAGCCCAACACTCCAAAATGCAAGGTCACGTGGTTCTTCAACAACCTCCATCCTTCTTGCGAGTTGTGTTTTTGTTGCATTCAAAAGACTCCATGAATTGCACCTGTAGAACCCACGTGGGTTTGTCACAAAATATCTCATCAGTTGAATTTTCTGCTCCAGGCTTGGCATTCCCAGTCAGCAGTGCCATTCTCTGCTCTTTGTTGGCAGTTTTCAGCCCTGGGGAGGTGGGTGGGAAAAGATGGTGAATCTCAGAAGTCTGACAAAAAAACCAACATCCATACACAGCAGAACTCCACTGGCTTTGGAGCCATCAGTGCCAAGGGCAGAACAGCAAATAGAAGGGAATGTAGGCCTTGTTGCTAGATAGATCATTTATTAAAGTGAAATTCAGCATCTTATCTTTGTCAGACAGTACAGAGTTAAAGTCTCATACACAGTGGAAGCAGGACATTTCCTACACCTCAGAGAAATGAGTTCTACAGCTTTTGCTATAAGTTACTAAGTTGCTTTAACAATACACAGCTATATTACACAGTTAAAAATACAGGGTGTCCAAAACATTTGGCATAAGATCAGCACAACACATGGAGGTCAGAAACAAAAGAGGGAACACAGTTTTTCTCTCCCAGTAAGCCTGCCAAAAGACTCCAAACCATTCTGCAAGTTACCTGCTACCCATCTCCCCTGCACCAACCAGCTGAGGAGCAGAGCTGTGGGTAGGACAGGAGTAAACCCAGCCCTGTTAGGGCTCAGAGGCTCCTGGAGCCTGCTGATGTACAGGATGGCCTGCAGAGCTGCTTGCAAGGGAAGTTCAGGTTTAAGGCAGGAGCCTCCCCCTCTCCCCATACTTTCTTCAAGCATTTAATTCATCCCAATCAGATGTGTTCACAGGCAAGTCAAGGGATAGCTGTGAAAAGTGCAAGGAATATCTTACATTGTAACAATTCATTTGCACCTCTAAAGTGGGAAATGAAAACTCCCTAACTTGATAAGCTAGAGATGGCTAAAGAACATCAGTGACACGAGGAGTGAGGCATCAATAACATTCCTTCACCTTTGGGACTCTTCAGTCAATAATCTAGGCAGTACAGGCACTCCCTCTGGACGGGAGGCCACCTTGTACTACCCGTTCTTCTAAACTGTAGAGGCAAAGTGACTCTAGTGCTCTAGGGAAGTACCGCCATCTGCCAACTTAAATAAACAGTCCCTCAGCAGACCCTCCCCTCCTACTGCAGTTACTGCTGAAGATCTCCCATTGGTATTTACATTTGGCTCAACCAAAAGATGTAAAGTGCACAGCTCCCCCTCCTACCCCTCTCATAAAACATCCGTCACAAGAGCTGATGCAGAACGAATTGTCCTCCACGCTGCTGCCTGTGGAAGTGTGTTTTGTTCAGTCTCTGTGGGCCATGTCCTGTTTCATACTCTCTGTGCCATCATGACCCACATGCAAACTCCCATTAATTGTGGATTATTTCAGCTCTTGTATTCAAAGCCTCTCCGAACCCAGCCTGCACTTGAGACTCACTTGAAATGCCAGACTTGATGTGTTTTGATCAAGTCTTGCACACTGGGATATCTAGTGATTTACAACCACATTTCTAGGAAAAACTGGGACCCAAAATGCTGGGGACAAGTGGTACAAACCTGCCCGCTCTGCTCTTTTCAGGTTGAGCATCTAAAGTGCCTGGCAAAAGAAACATTACCTTTTAATGCAATTGTGTACTTCAGGTTGATAGACAATAACCTTTGAGATTCAGAAATTTTGAAAACTGCATTCTAACACAGCCTCCTTGGATATATTTGCACTTTTCAGCCATCAAGTTGCCAACAACTTGAGTCTTTGCATGCTTCCAACTCCCTTGAGCTGAGCTCAAGCCCGTAACTACCAGCAATGATTTCTTCTTCTTCCCTTGAAGTGAGCAGAGGGTCAGCATACAGGATGAAATTAACCCCAGAAGAGATGTTTCTGCATTATTTGGATTGCATACTAATGGCTTCGGATCTAGTCAGAACTCTAATTAGGTTAACGCAGCTCTTCAATGAGAATTGAGCTAGGCTATGGAATGGCATTAGGCTATATAATGGCTGGAGACCTTCAGACATGATTCCTCTGCCCCAGGGTGAATGTCACCTATGCAGGCTTGTAAGAAATAAGCTTCCACTATTATAAATAGAAGATGACATCTGGTCATCCTCCATGCCCCCAAGGCTTGTGCTCCATGGTTCAAAGCTAGACAGAATTTAAGGCCCATCTGTGAAAAGCAAAATGCAAAAGGAAAAAAAAAATCATCTTATCATACCAGCCAAAGCGATTTGGGTCTTACACCTTTCCAACAAGTCCCATCTAAAAGTGCTGAGAAAATGTCCCACCTCATGGTTTCACAAGTGTGAGGTTCAAACACATTTACTTCGAAGTTTCAAATAAAAAAAGTTGGAAAGTCTTTTTTTTTTTCTCAATTGGCATGCAGCATAAGGAATCGAACACACAGCACGGTATTGTACACAACGACAATTGCATTGTTGCGTTTTCTGGTTATTAGACACTAAATGCTTTTCAAGAATCACAGGCACCCTGAACATGGATATTGCTACTGAATTGACGTGTGGTTTTAGTTCATAGCACGGGAGCCATCAGGTGGCTGCCCCTTCCAACAAGACATCGGCTTTCTGTTGCTCAAGGCGTTTTGCTCTAGCTAAGTTGAGAACAAGGTAATAAGGCATTTGCAAGGGGTTTATAAGGCCATGGGGTCCGACAGCCAAAGATTCTTCTGTTTCTTTGGTGCCTTGCCTCCAAGCTTTCCACCTTATAAACAACTGCTAATGGCTGGTAAACATCTCTTCATCATCACACTTCGCCAAGAATATTTTTCAAAAAAGTATAATTGCTTTAGAAGTGAAACCAACAAGGATCACATTTCACATCAATTGACTATTTTCAGGAAAAAAAGAAAAAAAAAGTTTCCTGGATACCACCTCTGCACAAAAGCATTCCAGTGAATACACCTGAACAGATGGAACCTGCCACCATATTTCCTTGAAAAGAATCATTTTGCTGATGGCTACTAAAGCACCCCAACAGATTTATTTACTCTTAGAAATAAAACAAAATAAAATACAACAACAAAAAAAGTAAATCCCAAACAAACTACATTTTTACAGTTTTGGTCTAGAATCACAGAATCAATTAGGTTGGAAAAGACCTCTGAGATCATCGAGTCCAACCTATGACCGAACACCACCTCGTCAACTGGAACATGGCACTAAGTGCCAAGTCCAGTCTTTCCTTAACCACCACCAGGGATGGCGACTGCACCACCTCCTTGGGTAGCCCATTCCAATGTCTGATCACCCCTTCTGTGAAGAATTTCTTCCCAATGTCCAACCTAAACTTCCCCTGATGCACCTTAAGATCACATCCCCTTGTCCTGTTGCTGGTTGCCTGGGAGAAGAGGCCGACCCCCACCTGGCTACACCCTCCTGTCAGGGAGTTGCAGAGAGTGATGAGGTCACCCCTGAGCCTCCCCTTCTCCAGGCTAAACAATACCAGCTCGCCTGGCTGCTCCTCACAGGACTTGTGCTCCAGATCCTTCACCAGCTTCACTGCCCTTCTCTGGAGTCACTCCAGCACCTCAATGTCCTTCCTGAATTGAGGGGCCCAGAACTGGACAGAGGACTCGAGGTGCCTCACCAGTGCCAAGTACAGGGGAAGAATCACTGTGAGGCATAACCCTCTCAGCTCAGAAACTCATTTTCCCTTGGTAATATCCTCTGATGACATGAGCACTTTGCAGACTAACGTGCAGTCAGAGAATGTACCCTTTCAGTGATCTGTCCTGAATGAGAGAAGCCGGATTGTGTTGACTGATGTGGGAATTACTCCGCCCTTTCAATAAGGAAAGGATCATCATAATTAGGAAATTTTTAAACATTCATGAAATACCAACACAAGACATTCTCTCCTCATTCCTTGAACCTCTCTTGTCTGATGTTCCGTATTGAATCGAACAAGGAAATGCTGAAACAATCACACTCCCCACACGTCACAAATGGGACGTGTACCATAACAGAGTATTTCTGCATATGACACAGGATTCAGACACACTGAAATTTGTTGAACATGTTTCTGGAGTATTAGCAAACAATTCAGAGTGATGTGAACAATTAAATTGCGACTTGAGTTTTAAAGAGACTCTGGGAGAGCTTCAGCAAGAGCTTCACTAAGTGAACCCTTCATGCCTTATGAAACACAATCCAGTACTAAGCTGGGACCATGACCTGTGTGTTTAGCTCTTCAACAAAGCTCCATCCAGTTTTGAAATATTAAAACCTGCCATTTACAAAATGCCAGCCGAAGTTTTCTACTGCTCAGTTCGTTGCTTAAGGCTTGTTGAGAACATCCTCTCTATGTGGAGTCTTGGCATCTTGTACCAGAATGGAGACATTGGTTAGGACAGCAAAGAAACATACTGGTGCTTTAAATTATGAGGTCCCCTGAAGAGAATTTGAGGTCACTGGAGAACAGTCAGTCACGATCAATACTTTTATAAGCTCCTTTTGCCGAAATAACCACTGTGTTATTTGTAAGGACACCTTGGTTTTAAATAACAAATTCAGGGTGATCTCCTCCTACAGTGCCCGGTTAGGAAGCACCAGGGTGCCACCCTCACTCACACAGCTCTCATGACAGCACATGTAATGCTCATGAAAGGCAAATGCTTCGATACTTCTTGCCTGTTGCAAAGACAGATGAAGTGCATCACGAAATGCTCCAGTCAGATCACTGCCCTGGTTATGGTGCCTCACCCATAACTCTGCTTTATACTAAACAGAGACTGCAGAGCCCCTGAATCCACACAGTAGTTTTGTGACACCTGCTACAGCTTCAGTAGAGAACTCACAAAATTTGTGACTGATACTGATCTGACACAGAAATTAAGAGACTGACGTCTCAAGCCATTGTTTCACCTACCATCACTGAAATATGTATAAGTGAATTAAACAAACATTTCTACCAACATGATCAGACCCAGCAAATAAGCTGTGTTTGCCTTAATACCACATTCTGAGGAAATGCAGAAGTTTTAAAATTCTTACAGACAATTTAATTAATGAGCTGTTAAATAAAAGAAACGAGAAAGACTGCAGAGAGTTGGTTGGCATCCATGTCAGATGGGGTCAGGAGGAAAAATGGTAAAAAACACGTATCAATTTCAGACTAGTCAAGTAGCATTCACTGGAGTAGATCTGGTGAGCTGGAGCATTTGTAGAAGTTTGGGATTTGAAGCACTGACTCAAGGCAAGACAGAGCATGTGTAGGTGAGGAGCAAGCTTCAGACAAACTTCTGACCCATGCACCTCAAGAATGAATTTTATCTCTGCTGCTCTTCCAGTCCTGTACCAAGACAAACTGCATGGTGGTTTGTGATGCAGTCTGAATTCAGTGAAAAAAATTCCATCTGGGATCTGAATTGCACTGAGATGCAGATTTCCAGAGATGGTTTAAAACACCAAGTTGACAAATTCCACAATCCTACAGGTTTACTTGGTTTCCCCATTATCCTCATTTCTTTATTCCAATGTGACTTTGAAATGAGGGGAAGAAGTCTTCGGAAACATGTTGGGCACATGTTTTCAAATACTCCTGATAAGAATGTCAATATTTTTTTCTGTCATCCAGACACTGCATTTAAAAAAAAAATTTACAATATACTTTAACAGTTCTTATATACCTAAAATACACAATACCATATGTTCCTTTAAGGTCTCTCTTATTCCAAGTCTTGTTAACCTTCAATCTAGTTGCTTGCTGCCCTCTGATTTCTGGTCCAGCCTGCTCTTGTTGTTCTTCACCATGTAGATGAAATATGCGAGTGTCTCCTTCTCATTCACCGGAATATTCCTGAAGTGACGACTGACAGTCTGGAAGGACAACATGTAAAGAGACAGAAATGCTGAAATTAAACAGTAGAAATAACTAGAATGGGGTTTGTCTTCACTTTCCAAAACCAATTTTACGGCCACTGAGCACAATATACTTTTAGTCAAACATGCACCGATTCCAACTGTCAGTCCTCATTTACCTCCCTCTCTCTTTACAGCTGGAATGTGTGTATGAACACAGCATAGTCTTGCTGTGTCAGCAGGATTTGCAGCCAACCTAAAAGCGGAATTTGGAAGCCAGAATGTCCTCCTGCCAAAGCAGCACAGCTCCTCCTGAGCGACAGTTCATGCCGAGATCATTTGGCGAGCGAGTTTTCTCTGCACCTCCGTGTTTTAAAGGAGAGCGCAGGAAACACTGCAACACTTTGCTATGTGAACCAGATGTAGCAAAGTTTTATCCAGAGAGTTCTCCTTTGGACTCTAAGTTTTCACTGAAAGGAACACCAGCGAATTTGCACTGGCAGGGTTAGGATGTGGTGAGGGCTACCCCTCTCTGACACTGTCATAGGCCCTGAACCATTATCTGCTTTTTCCACAGAAAATGAACGTAGAAAACATGTTGAAAATGGGATAAAATCTGCTTCTCACATGGAAGAAGCTGTTTTTGGGTACCAAACACAGCTCCAGAACTGGATTTTGATGCAGGCTGAGCAATAAGTCACTCCAAGAAGATTTATGGAAGTCTGAGTTTTCCTTACGGTGGGATAGCAGCAGGAGTCTAAGAGCCTCAGGCAGCAGTGATTCAAACATGGGAGCTGGACGAGGATCCAGCGTAGGGTCAAAGCTGCTCAGACTCCACAGGAAATCTGGGAAGTGTGTGACAACTTTAAGTTAGGCTCCCTTTATTTTCTGCTTGCATAGTAGTTGATCTTTGCTTTCCTCTTGGGAACATTCATGGTAAATTCCCTAAGCAGGTAGTCCTTCATGGCAGGAGGCAGCTGACAGACTATGAACTGCTTAGTTGAACATGACAAATCAGAACTACTAACGAGGAATACCCTCACCATGCTTTCTTCAACTTACTCCTACAGTCACTACACTATGATTTCTCTATATTCTGTATATTCACTCCCTAGACGACTTTGAAAGAGGGAAAGACAGTGTCTTGCTGACTTTTTTGGTCTGCTGGTTTTTGTTCTTTAAAGTAAGAGTAAAAGCAAAGTGGACAGTTTTAGGCAGACAGCTGTGAAAACCACAACTTACAAAATCAACCTCGCTACCATTCAGTAACTGCTACAGCTTTTTCAAGTTTAGAGAAGACTTTTCTAACAGCACGTCATCAAGTCAGGAAAGAGCAGAGCAGATGCACACCAAGCACAGCTCACCCAAATAACACAGAGATACAGAGAGTTCTTTCTGTACAAGTACCCATATGGTGAGAAAGCAGCAGCAGAGGCCCTTAAGGAAAAAGTCTTTTATTGACTTAATACAGAATAATCAGGACAAGGGAGGGAAATAAGGAACCTGAAGTCACGGTCAATGATTCTGCCTTTAATAACAAGCAATTCCAACCAGTTCAAATGCCTGTGAGGAAAGAAAAACTAACAGGGGCACTTAGGGAGACCAGTAGTGTATAAGTCTGAGTTTCAGTCAAACAGCCATCTCCAGATCACACCCAGGCCACAGAAAACGGGTTCTGTTTCTGCTCCCTAAAGGTCACTGATTATGACTATAAACAAGGCAGGAAAGGAAGCAGAGATAAGCCAAGTTACTAAAACATGCTGTCAAGAGCCAGCTTCCATGCCTTCCATGCCTGTCCCAGGTGAAAGCAGCTTTCTGTTGGCATCATCCCCTGAAACCCTTCGCAGAGCACTCGGTACATACCAGGGAGTTGCACAGGTATGAGTGTCCACAAAACATGCACTTGAAAAGAGGAGATAAGAAGTTTTTTAATAACTGAGATAATGCTACCTCTGTCATCACTTACTTCTGCAAGCTGAGCCTTGTTGAGTCCAGGCCTAGTCTGCAACTTATAATGCCTCTTGTAACGCCTCAAGGTGTTCACTTGGAGCTGGAACAAGTCAACCTGCAAGTGATGCAGAGAAAAGGGGATGAGCACTACTTTTAGTTTCTATGAGTAGTTATTTTATCTAAAAATAACTACTTCCTCAACAGGACTGCTCTTTGCCTGCATTCAGAACCACACTGGTTTGCTTTACTGACAAACCTCAGTGTATTTTGTATTTGTTAATGCTAAAGGACCAAAATAGCCTCAGGGAAATAGAAAATTTTGTTCTGGTTCACATGCTGTCAACAGAATTGCTGGCCAATTTCTGCTCTCAATTACACCTCTGCAACCTCCAAGCAAAGGGGAACCTTTTGTTCCCACAAGGTTTAAAAAGCTCACACATGAAATATCAATTTAGCAGGCATTGAACAAATGGCTTGTGACATAAAACAGAGTGCAGAGATGAAATGAAATTCAAATACTTAAATGGGAAGTACACAGTTTAAAACCAAAGGGGGTGGTAGGGAGGTTACAGGAAGAAAGATGAAGATCATGTGGAAAATACCAAGTTTCAAAGACAAAAGGAATCTGTGCTGAAAAACAAGAGGAAAATTACATTAAAACTGACATGGTGCAGAGTTCCCTGTTGGAACTCTGCTGGGTGATGTGCATCCCTCAGGTTTAAGCCACCAAATACCCTCTGTGCTCTACAGCACCATTTTTAGATGCTCACTGGGTCCTCATCAATCACCCTGGCAACTACAGTAAAGCCTGAATAGGAAAGTTTTGATGGAGAACCTCGAATGGAAACATCAACAGTGATAACAAAAGGTCAGGTATCCTTAAAAAAACCACCACACCAAAAACTTGCTACTCTTTCAACACCTCCACAAAGGAAACGTGTGCGTACAGCTTTGCACCAAGGCACGGCTTTGCTGGCAGAATGACTCCTGGTGGCTTTCTCCCTCCCCCCCTCCCCAGAAATAAAAGGCTCTTTGCCAATAGGGTTGGCATTTCCAGCAGAGGGCTCTGCTGACGTGGCCACAGCTCTGCTCCCGATTATCGCCTCTGCGCAACTTTTTGTGGTGTCTACAGTACCCGAAACATCACTGAGGCAAATACAGCACACAGTGGCACAGAGAAGGGATTATTCTAGAGTTCTGTATCACAGAAAACCTCTCCCAGGCCTATTTCCTGAAAATAAAAAGGTGTTACAAACTATTTAGAGGTAGTTTTAAACAGTCCCAAAAAAACTCATATGTACAAAGGTCTGGAGAAGGTCAATATCCCTGGATATCAAATACCCAATCAAAGAGAGTGACCTATTGAATTCTTTAGTGTATTTGGAGAATGATGCATCCTAAGGAACAAAGAATCATATTGGAGCCTCAGACACCACCAAAAATAACTTATTTTTACCTTTAAAAAAGAATTAGGACCAAATACAGCTTTAACTGTACATATATGAAGCTGTACAGTTACCTTATCACACATCCTTTTATAGAAAACTTTACATGGGCAAAGAACTCATACAGGAATGAAAAAGAAAATTAGGACATTACACATGAGAAAAGAGTCCTCCTGGAAAGTGAGAGTAACTACAGCAGCTTCAGTGGAGTTGCAATTTAAAATGTAAATATTTTCCGATACATGAAACCATCCAAGTGAAACTTCAGCATGCTCAGAATTGGTAAAGCAGCTCACAAACCTCTGGAACATCCGTGTCATGCTCAGGAGAGTCACCTCCATCATCACTCGTCTTCCTCTTCCTTTTGTTTCGCACACTTTGAATGAAGTTCTTGTGAAAATCACAAATATACAGATGTCTCACCTAAGAACAGAAAGAGCAATCAAAACAGGTTCTGTGAAACAGCATCCAACGGCAGCCATTTAGACACCAGTATCAGAGTCCATCCCCATGACTGGTGTGACTGACTGCCTTAAGGAATTTCTAATCTTAAACCCCAGGCCTGATATCAGGCTCTTGAGTTACAAATAATTTACATTACAAAGACTAAAGGCAAAGAAAATTGAGGACTCGAGCTCCACCTGAACTTGAACCTCTGCAGATGATACATTTCTTTTTTATGGTTGCAATCATATGTCAGAAAAAAACAGGTCCTTGTCTGGAGGAAGTGCATTTGCTTCAGGAGCATCAGCTCCTTACCATCAGCTAACTACTAAGAAAAATATTAATCTGTTCTACTCTTGTGAACTTTTTGGCTTGAATAGTACAGAAGATTATTAATGCAAGTGTTTCAACACCTTGACCAAATAAAAGTTGGCTAATTACCTCAAATAGAATAAAAAACCCAAAAGCAGAGCTATCTCTTTCCTAATGCTTGTTCAGCCACGGAACACCCCTTTTAACAAATATTATCTCACTAGAGTTAGCAAAACAAAGGACCTCAAGTGATCAAAATCATCTGGTATCTGTAAGGTTAAAATATCTTCAGATGACACAGGCAACCTACATTCGAAATCTCTCCATGCAGCCTCGCTTCACACTTTCCCTTTGTTCTGAGTTCATTAGTCTGATCTCCCCTTTTTGTTTTCTAAAGCCTTACATCTGTCAACAAAGACTCATTTCTGAAATGCAAGAAATTACTATGCCACTAGGCCAATCTGCTGAGGACTACAGCGAGGAGAAATACTCCATTTTTTAAGAATATGTTTCAAATTGAGTCACTCTCTTTCCGTGACACGATGCGATTCAGCTGTGCAGAAGGGACCCAATCAACCGGGGGAGCTGCCAAACAGACTGACTCAAAACTTCAGCTTTTTTTTTTCCCCTTTGTTTTCAGCGGTTTTAATCTTTAACGATCTGGTAAGAAAAGCGTGGAGAGCTGGATTCCGTTAAGCGAGTCACTTCTGAGAAATTCCTTCGGGCTGCTCTGCTCTACCTATTTCTCTGCTGGGTGAAGGACCCGCTTCCCTCTAGAGCTGACAGCCGTCACTTGATGTCACTAAGCACCAAACTGGGCTGTTTGGTGTGCGAACAAGCCCTGCTGAGGCGGCATCACATCTCGCCGCCAGCTCATCTTTTAACCTGCTTCGCTACAGCACCAATTCCTACCAATTAAAGCAGCAGCGTCAGCGACGCCTCGCTGAAGCACCGAGTGCTGTTTTCACCTGACAAGCGCCAGCGTTTCCAACCCGAAGCCGCAATGGAAACAGCGTCCCTGCCTCCGGAGCACGGGCAGCTCGCTCAGCATCGCCCGCCTCCCAAACACGGTGTTTTGTGTTTCACGCATCACGAGACTCGCCGTGCCACGGGGAAAAGCCGCGTCTGCAGCGGGGGAAAAGCCGGTTCCGCATCCAGGCACGTCCTTCCCTTCCCTTTCCCGAGCGCTGGATGGGGAAAACGCGGTCCCGTTTGGCCGTGTCGGCCGCTCACAGCCCCGCACCTCGCCCCATCTCCCCGAGGGGCAGCACCGAACCCCCCCGGGCAGCCGGAAGCCCAACTCGCCGGCGCATCCGCCGCTACCCGGAGCTCCGCAAGTGCGGTGGCGGCTGGGCCGGCCCGGCCCCCTCCGGGGGCTCGGCGCCCCGGCGGGAGGCCGCACTCACTACACTTTTGTCGATGTTCCAAGGCTGTCAGCTTCTTCTTGCGAGATGCTCTTCGTGGATCCTCTTGCTGAGGACGCGTTGCGGCGGGGCGCACGCACGCGTCGCCCGTCGTCGATGAGCCAGCAGCTCTGGCCGTAAAAGGGAGGCGGCGGCGGCCCATGCCCGGCTGTCCTCCATCGGTGCTGGAACCCCATTCATTCGCCCACCCTGGCCGCCCCTCACCCCCGCGCGGGGAGCGACAAACGGGAGAGGGGGACGAAGCCGCGCCGTCACCGCCGCGCCTCTCGGGGGGACCCCGCCGCCACCCGCGGGGCCGCCCCAGCGCGCAGGAGGGACCCCCTGGGCCGCCGGCGCTGCAGCGCTTGCCCGGCGGGCCGGGCCGGCCCCCCAAGCGCCGCCGCCCGCGGGAGCCGGACCGCGCGCGCCCGCCACACACAAAAACCGCCTCCGGCCGCGGAAGTCCCGCCCCCGGCTTGCAAGCGCCGCTCCATTGGCGGGCGGCAAACAGAAGGGCGGGGCGCCCCGCGCCGCTCCGCGCGCCCATTGGGTGGAGGAACGGCCCGTCAGCCGCCATCGCCCCGCCCCCGCGGCCGGAAGGTCGCCGTGCGGGGCGCGGAGGGAGCGGCTGGGTCCGGTCGGCCCCCCCCGGCCCGGGACCCGGTGGCTCCCGGCCGGCTCTCGCCGGCCGACGGGGCCCTGCGGACGAGAGGGAAGCGTCCGCCCGCGGCATTCGGCGTCCCCTGCTCCGCAGAACCGCACGGGACCCCCCGCCCAAGCCACGGGACCGGCGGTTCCTCCAGCCGGCCGGGGATGAGCCGGCATCGCTCCTGGAACAGCCGAACCTGTGACAGACCTGAACCTGCGGCCCTGGGACACGGCTCAGGTCGGCACAGCCGCAAATGCCTGTTCTTGGATACAGCGTCCTGTAGGCAAGAGTTCCTGGCTGAAATATAATTTTTTTATATTACAAGATTATATATTATAAGAAATGTATGTTTTCCCTTCTTCCCCCTCCTCCCCCCGATTACAAGGCAGGGATAGTGAGAGGATGGGACCTGGAAAAGAGTTTCCCAAAGCAATGTGACTTTAAGCTTCACATTTCTTTCATCTGCAGGAAAAAAAACCCCAAAAAACCCACAAACCCAAAAAAGTAAAAAAGGGGGAAGAAAGGGGGAGGAGAAGTGGTGGTGGGGAGAGGAATGAAATTCCTACTGATCTGTGAAGAAAAGATGTACCTTCTGGAAACACCACAACCTCTGTAATACCAGACAGCAAATCCCATTGTCAGAGGTGCGTGAGCAGCTCTAAAGGGAAAAGGATTTCATCCTCCTCAAGAAAAGACTTTCTACACAAGCAGAAAAAAGGTTCTATAGACTAAAATTACTTCAGAGTCTGAAATCCTGCCTGTGGAACAATGTGCGTGAGCACCGGGTGAACTGTGCTGAATCACACACACGAAATACCTTTGCAAGAAAGACTCCTTAAAGCCCTTGGTCATCTGCTCACGCTGCCCCACAGTAACACTAACAGGCACCTTGCAACCTGTTCTGCCTGCTCTGCACAAGACAACTGAGAAAAGCCAAAATCTGTATTTTCTAGGCATTCTTTACACTGCCAAACATGTCTCAGAATAAATGTGGAGGGGAGGGACTTAATACTCCTCAACAGTTCTGCCTCTTGTCTTTGCTTTTACTGCTGGTGCCCTCAGGCAACTGGTAATTTCTGTTTGTCCATGTGACTGGTAGGGAACCACAGTGCACCCTCCTGGGGACAGGCTCCCAGGAGCCAGCAGTTCTCATGGGAAGCTGATGAAAACAAATTAATTTACCCACAGACCAACAAGCAGTTAGTGAAGAGCAAAGAGATTTAAATAAGCAAAAGGCCACTGCTTATAAAAGCCCCAGGCCAAACTGCTTGGGATCTGCCTGCCTGAATTAATACCCTCCTGGCAAAACCAGATAGATATTCCCTTGTTTTGGGGAAAGAGTAAACACAAAAGGCTGAGAGTGATCTTGGATCTCCTGATACCAAGCTTTCCAGGTTTATCTTAACCTTACCAATAAAGATCAAATGGCAGGCTGAGGAAATCTTGCAGAAGGACTATCTTGACACTCAGCTGTAAACACAGACTGTAGGGACAGGTGATAATAGGAGCACACGAGATAAAAGGGAACATGACCATAACAGGTAGGACTTCCTCCTATCCCCATGGGGACAAGATTCTGCAGGTGGTCCCTGGACCATTCTGTGGCAAACAGGAATGGCTGGAGAAACAGGCACCATAAGTGCCAGAACAGGTTGGTACTGACCATCAGATTGTATTTCTTCTTGGGCTGCAACCTCTCATCCCTGCAAATGAAAAGATTTTAAGTCGTTTTGCAATGCCCAGTGGAAGGAAAAACCCTGGTTTTGTCTCTTTGCTAATTCAGTGTTAATTACCTGCCTTCTCAGGCTAACACAATGACACCTTTTTACAGTCTTTCAAAATAAAAAAAAAAAAGTGCATGGAGGTGTTTTTATAATTGCAGTTTATTTCAGCGTATTTATCCTCATGGGAACTTCCAGATTTCACAGTCTGCTAGTCTGGAACAAGCTTGCTGTGAAATAAACTGCCTCATAGAGACATTCTTTATTGGGTATCTATCACTAACCTGATCCAATAATTCTTTGTGGGAGCTGCAATGAAGTGAGAAACAATGTTTCATAAACCCATCAGCACCCAGGCAGCTTTAGTGCCTCTGAAGCGGTAGTGGCCTGCCCATCCCAGTCACCCTCTAATCAAATTAGGGGAACCTGCACTAGCCTGTAAATCTCACCCGGAGCAGCACTACTCTCTAAAGATAAGTCCGTGGTGTAGCTGTCATGTGGAACTTACTGTTTTAATGGAGCCATTCGGGGAGCCTGGGACAGAAATGCTTCTCTCCAAACGGTCTGTGCTGCTGGAGATGTCCTGGGAAGCTGCCTTTTTAAAATTTTTTGTACTCCCAGTCAGAAATCAGACCATTTCCTTTCTCGGCACCTTGAGGGCCAATGGAAGCACTGCCCTGGCACCTTTCCCTGGACTCCCACTCTCCTCAGCACTTTTCTAGGGTGGCACATATTGAACCTGCTAAAATGCTTAAACTGTCACAGCTTTTGGCACATACTCACCCTGGGCAACGTTCCCACGGCCAAGAATCACAGCACAGCCTTCCCGGGGGAAACAGTTAACCTTGCAGTTATCTGCTGGTCCCCCCAGAAAGAGCCTTTCCTTTCCCTCACACAGGCTCATTTTCCCCACACGTAGATCCTCACACATTTCATTGCTTGTCTCCCATCCGTTTTTTCCACTGTTTTTCACCCAAAGGAGTTAAGTAAAAAGGAGTGCTGAGAAGGCTGCTGAAGAAATGAAGTGGTGACAGTAGAAAGCACTGAGGGTCCTACTGGGAACATGAGCAATGCTGAGAAACTTCCCTTGTCTTGGGCCAAGCCCGCTCTCCCCACATGGAGATCAGAACACAAACAGGGCCCCGAGCTGTTAAAGCCCTGCAAACCAAGGGGTGGGATGGACCTCCCAGGAGTCACTCCCAAGGCAGACAGGCACAGAAAGGACAATGACAGCTGGGTTTTCTCCACTCCTCTGTGCTTCCCAGTGTGCCCCACCAAGTACTGTCCATGGCAACTATCCCTCAGGGGTACAGGTTCTACCTGGGCACAAATCATCCACCACAGCCATGGTCCATCCAGGACAGTACCCCTGGGCACCTACTTGCATGAACACGTCTCCTCCACATCTCCTCTAGCTTTGTCCACTCCAGCTTTGTCCACATCTTATATTTCTCCTCATGTCTCCTCCTCTCGTGGCTGCCACTTGCTCTTCCTTCAGCTCTGAGCTGAGGTGCTGCAGGATCCCCTGCTGGGCTGTAGTTCTGGGACATGATGGATTGTTCCCATCGGTTTCAGAGCTGCTGGGAAGCAGCTGTGAGAGGCAGACATAGAGCTGCCCCTGGCTGCCTGAGCCTCCTTGTACACCCAACACAGCACTCGGGCATGAGCTCCTTGGCTGTTCGTGTGTACACACAGCAAATCCTGTGCTCTATTCCCAATGCAAAGGGCAGCCAGGAAGGACGTTTCCCAAGGGGGCTGGAGGACACCAGTGTTTGGCACAGCAGGAAGCCTGTGCTGGGGAAACACCCGACCAGGGATAACTGAGCTTATAAACAGAGAGAAGAGAAACACATCACTGGAGCAAAACAGGCAGGGACAGTCACATCTGCGCACACAAATTTCAGAAAACACATTAAAAATTTATTTTAAATATATTATAAAAGGAAGTCCATTCAACTTTAAAAACACTAGGCATTCTATCAATGATTTCCAATTTATGAAAGCTACTACATTAAAGTGCTACAAGTCCTTTACCACCCCCAGATATTAGGCTGTTGGTCCTAATATGCACAAAATAAATACACACTGATTCAAGAGGCACCATCCAGTTTTACAGAGAAAATGCATGCAGTACAAGGAACAGACAAACTTAGACCTAATCACTGAGATCCTGGAGAATGCATTTTGAAACCAATTCCCTTCTCCACCCTAGAGGCTAAAGCTATTTGTTGTTGTTATCATAAGGGCTAAGGTTTCAGGCTAGTAGCTTGACCAGTTTTTATCTTGTTTTGTGGTTGAAGTTCACATTTCCTTGCTCACTAATTGGGATTAGGACTTTTTTCAGCTAGAGTTGAACTAGTATAGTTAAGACCACATAGATCCAGTGGCTTTATATAAAACTCCCAAATCCCTCACATCTGCTGGAATCATTGAAGTCTTTTGAATATACAGAAGCAACAAGAAAGCTCAAAATGCAGAAAGTAAAGGACTGTACTCAGCTAGCAGAGGCAGAGTCAAAAACAGTCATAGGCTTTTTATTAGGTTTTCCATAATCTGTCATTGCCTAGTTCCATACAGACCTCCAAGCTAAAGTGTGGCACTACTAAGGAGCAATTGGAGCAGGACTTGAGTTAATTTCAGTTACACTTTAAATTTATGATGTCAATAAATCAATCTGAATGGTTAATGAGGAATATGAAATGAGTTGACAAGTCTGTGTTGAATGCTGATGGAAATTTTGGGTCTCATTTCCCATTCTCCACCCATCGCATCTCTCCTCTCCACTTGAACCAGGTGAGGACTTGCAGCTTGATTTAAAATTTGGACTCAACACTCATTAGGTCAGAAAATAAAGCACTTAAAGGTAAATCCCACACAAGCTGGGAAATTGCAGCACACAGAATTTCCCTGCTTAAGATCAAGTAACAGGCCACAGGAGCCTGGGAGCAGGATCCAGTGCTCCTGACTCCCAAGCTAGCTCCCCTTTGCTGTGTATCCTGTGAAACCACAGTTTATCCATGAACCACAGGAGCTGGGAGTGGATGTGGGATGCAAGGTACACGTGCAGTGCTTGTGCTGGCAGAGCCAGGCTGTTTCAGACATGGCTTTACCAGGGCTATTTTGACTGGAAGCATGACAGGTTGACTGCCTGAAAACCATTCAAGTGCCTGTCCATATCTTTGAAAGACAATTTAAAATATAATCTTCTCCCTTTTCAATCAGCAGTTCCACGATTGCCCAATATGGCTTTTAGGAGATCTCTCCCCAGGGTGATGTGAGCCAGCAGAGCTGCTGTGACAGCCCTGCAGCAGCCCCAGAGCACTGTGCTCTTGCAATGCTGGTGGTGCCTGTTTGACTCTCAGTATACTGATCTCAGTGCAGCAGGGAGGAGGAAAGTTTGCTGACTGGAACTCTCCAGTAAAGGAAAGCAAAGCCCTGTGCACAGGCTGCTGTAAAACCAACCAGGAAGAAAGTCAGGATGAGAAATTGCTTTCTTGCTACTTCTGTATTAGAGCTGTTAACACACCCTTTAAAAAGTTTCCCACTGATGGGAGGCATCGATTTTTTCTGAAAGACACTTCTGGCTACAGATTTTATATGCTTTTGGGACTATTTGTGATTTGCATACTTAGAAAATAAAATGCAGGATCCTGCATGCCAGTGAAATCATGAGCCTTCACCATGAGGTGAAACATCCAACAGGTAACCCAAGACATCCTCCAGCTTAGCTCCAGTTGCTACAGCGTGCCAAGAGGAAGCAGCCATCCTTTCTAAGTCTTCCTATTAGGAGTGATAACATCCCCTTGAGTCATTAACGATACTGATTTAACAGAGGAACCCCATGAGCTTCTGAATTACTGTCGTTCACACAAATTTTGCACTGAAAGTCAGACATTTTAAAAAAACACACACAAACACTGCACAAGTCAAGCTTTCTCTTACATCCTTATCTCCCAACTCCTTCCCCTCTCCTCTCTTGTCCAGCAAGGCACTAGGAAATGGTTCAAGTTTAAGCATTTGCTGTACATTTACATTTAAAAAGGCACATCTTTATTTTAATGATGCTGTATTCCCCTTTCGGGGAGGCTCCCACATTCTTCTCTTGTGGTGTGGAAAAGGAAGTTAATTTCCCAGCTATGAGAAAAGACACCTTGCACACATGAGAGCCCCAAACCTATTTACTGTCTGTAAGCCTTAGAGATTAGCACCAGTAGAGATCAACAACAGCTTCAAGAGCAAATCAAAGTATTTTTATGCAACACAACACACACCCAGGGATCCCTCTGTTGTCTCGGATTCTGATACTTAAAAGCAGCAGAACTTATGCAGACATAAAAAGAGGGGTGTTTCGATACTTTTTTGGGGAAAAAATATGAAAACATTTATTTTGCATTAGATAATCACCGGTATTTAATCTCCAGTCTTGACTCACATGCGGATGTGAAGATTTGCTTATGTATTCATGCTTTAGCAATTTTGCTTACAAATAACCAAAATTAATTGGAATAATTAACCAGATTGCCCAGCAAAGGCTCAGTTAAAGATGCAGATGATGAAATACAGCTTCTATTTCTCAATCAGTGGATGGTTGGCTATATTAAGTCTTTGCATTAGTCAGCAAAGCCTCTAGGGTATTGAAAAGTATAATTGATGCAAATAAATTAATAGTTCAAAGCCCAGCGAGCTAGTCAGAAATGTACAGAATTTGTGAGGCACTTATCACACTCAGATACCAAACCTTCAGCAAACAGATAAACCACACTAAGAAGGAGCTGGTAAAACCACTCACACTAAAGTTCCAGTTTCTGTGTACTGGTGGTAGGTTGTCAAACTGGAATTGCCTCAACTACTACCTAATGTTTTGGTGCAAATTACTAAGAGCTGACCTTTATCTCCAAATTAAGATCTCCAAGTGGTAAAAGACCTGTTCATTACTGCAGTTCTCTCTGAAGCATCCTGTGAGCCAAGCAGGCTCACAAGGTGAGCCCAAGTACAAAGCAAGCCATGCATTTTAGAAACAGAAGCTATTCCTCTCATTAGAAAACTAAGACACACAAAGTTGCAAACTGCAAGCAGAACAACCTACAGTCCATTTATAGAATCTGCTGATTGTGTCCCAATCATAAAAAACTATCACTGTTCCTGGACAAGCAGCTTCTTGTTCCACAGGTATTAAAACATTCATAAAGACATCTAGTCAGGCCATCTAGTGTTCCACAGTCAGCACTACTAGACTAATGAGAGCATTAATAACTTAAGGAAAGCAGCAGCCAGACACAAAGCGCTGGAAGGTGACTCTGTCTCCCACAGAAATGAAAAGGGATCCTAATGACAGACATATTGTAGTAACTGAGAACATAAGATGTCAACTCTGCTTGATGCTGGTCTCACTTCCATACAATACTGCTGCAGAACTGTCACAAGGAAAACCTAGAGCTTTTTTTCTTTTCTTCACTCTCAAAACATTAGACACCAACACATTTTGGCAGCCTGGTCCCAGCTGCAGTGCAGCACCCAATGTTTCCCATGCTCCATGACTGCATGGACCAGGTAAGATGGCAAAAGAGGCTAGACATGGCCTCAGCTGTGAGGATGAGAGAGGGGGAGATGATTTTGATCCATTGTCAGCACATCACAATAGAGAGTTCAAGGGGCAGACAGTTGTGCCCTAGCTTGCATTCATCTTTTAGTATCAGTACATTCCAGCTTCTAGGATGAGACCATCCTGGTTCATGGTCTGGCAGATCCCACAGCCAAAACAGAAGGATTAACACCTTGTACTGCTCACTGACTGCACAAGGGAGAGGGTACCAGTAAAATGGGTCCATCAATCCCACATCTCTGCATAAGCAAACAGATCTCCAGTCACAGTAAACTGTACAGCGCTGTGGATGTTGGGACATGAGGAGAGATTAACAGCACATTCCCACAAGCCTAGAACACTACTGACCACAGGACTCAACAAATTACAGACTGATGAACAAATGGATAAAGACCAATCGTTAATCTGAGCCCTGAATTGGTTATCCTGGATTAATCTGCTCACACCAACTGTGAATGGAAGTTGCCTGCACGTAGTAGATTTAACTCTGAGAAACCCTGGAGGTGTCTGTGCTAAAAGGATTATGAATAAGAAGCAAATTTGGAACCTGATATCCAAAGGCTCTTAGCAAAAGTCCTCACCTGTAAGAACTGTGCTTACTTAAAAAACCCTCCACTAATCTTTCACCTTGAAGATTCAACAGTGAGTGACAAACTGACTGCAAAGTGAATGGACCAGAAACACAGATTTCTCATTGCTAATAACTACAGCCATATTCCCAACACTTGGCTGCACTTCCACTAGAGTTCATTCCTTCATCAGAGCTATGATTTGGAAAATAATAATGTCAACCTGTTTGAAATATACTTGGTCCAGGGCAAAAAAATATGCATTTCATTTTCCACTGATGGGCTTTTTCTTTTTTTTTTTCATAGGAGGCTTAAATCCTGTATCAGGATTTTACTTATATGGCGTTTGGAAGATAAAGCTGTGGGAACACTTCAGCAGGTGGTATAGCAGCTACAAAAAGTCCTGGAGGGTCCTGGATAACAAAATCATTTAACACAAGACCCAGGTGGGAAATAAAACAAAACAAAGGAAAAAAAATCCATTTGAATCACATTCAGACTCCTCTAAAAACAGAGTTTCTGTTCAGTCTCAGCACAGAATTGGCTCTGGCAAAGCCTTTAAAATTCCACCATCCCCAGAAGAGAAGGATGCAGCATCTTCACAATAAAGACTGGCCTGCTCGTTAACCTTCTCCTGAGATTCTCCCTTTTACCTTCATTAAATGTTTAAAAAAAAGTATTCTTAAAAAAATTTTTTGTAACCCTCCCCAGTAAAAACTATAATTGTAAAATATATATATATATTTTCTCAGTCTTTTAAAGATCAAGATTTCTGTTAAATTTTTCCAGGATGGTTGAGTTTGTGTGTTCAAATATCCACTGCTGTGTTGGAGATGAAGGATTGCAGCTATTCATAAAGATTTTTCGATCACTCTCACTGCAGTCCATACAGCTGCTGCTGACTGGATGGTAGAGAGTCTTGTCCTGGAGAAGAGAAATTTGATGTGAGGTTGCCAAGCAGAAAAAAAAAAAAAAGCTGTTTTAAAACCAACAGAAAGAAGTTTTAAAAACCAAGGCAAGCTATTGTGTCATTTGGGTGTATCCAGAGTTGCTCCACACCTGCATTGTTGGCAAGTGTCTGAGTTCATTCCTAACCCTTGCAACAGAATCCAGCCCAATCCTCACTCCTGCACTGGGAAGCTCTAAAGCTGTCCCTGAAGCCACGGGCTCTCCAGGCTGACATCCTGCTGCATCACTCTGGGGCGCTGTGCCAGCAGACTGCAAGGACTAGGATCGGGCACTGAGACAAGAATTTACTTTCCTGTTGCCCACAATAGCTTAGTTGCTTTAGTAGGAGGATGAATAAATCCTTATCTACTTTTGGCACGATTTTCCAGAACAAACCAACTCTCAGAACACCTCTTTGCAAACGGGTTTTGCAAAGGTGTTGCATCACCTCAGTGCCAGCTGTGGACACACTGCAGAGAATGTCCCTTCTGCTCAGGAGCCCTGGAGTCCTCACCTTTCTAACCAGTGGAATGGGGGAGTGACCTCTTTCTAATCAAGGGTAATTAATGGCACAATGACAACAGATTGTCTGCAGATTCTCTTATTGCAGCTACGTGGAGAGAAGGAATAAAACATGAGTGGTGACATTTTAAGAAATTTAAGTGCCTACAGGCAATTTGACACCTTAGAAGAGAATACGAATACGCCCACACACAGACTCACTTTTCGGTATCTCCAGAGCTGGTTCCCCTTCATTCCATGACAGTCATAGAGGGTCACAGGGCTGCTGTGGGAAATGGCATCGAAACAAAACTTCTTGGTGTGCTGAGGATCCCCGGGACGGATGTCCTCTCTCCAGCTGAAGGTGAACACCTGCCAGGACAAACAGGACCCTCAGGGTGGCTGGTACTTGGGCATGATGTTTTCACCAGCAGGAGGCTGTTCTCTGTCCCCAGAGGGTGGGGGTGACTTAAGGGAAAGGACAGTATCTTCTACAGAAAAACTACTCCCACCTCTAGGGACAAGCATTGCTGACCAGGGGAGTCTGTACCAGCTGCCACAGCCTGTGCTGCTGCAGCCAGCCATGCTGGTCAGCCTGGGTGTCTCTGCAATGCAGACATACATCAAGGATTAAATGAGCAGCTGACCAATTACAGCCCTTCACAGCCAGCAGAAAAGGCAGAGAGCTACAGGAGCTCTGAGTTCACGCTGGCAGTAAACACCCGAGTCTGCACAGCCAGCCTGCAGTCACCTTGAGAAGTCTGTCCCACACCTTCTGGGACAAGAGACCAGGAGCCCACAGCTTCCCACCCCACAGGAGTGTCAGAAGGGCAAACACGTGGGCAATGCTTCCTGGCACTTTCCTCTACTGACCCTGCAATGAACTCTCAGTGTTCTCAGGTGAAATGAAGGGATGGACAGTACAGACAAGCAGAGAAAGGGGTTTAGCTCTAGAAATGGGGCACAACCTATGCCTGGCAATGCTGTGGCCTTGATAAAAGTGTCCTCTGTGACCAGCACTAGCCAGTGTGGTTCTGCAGGGCTACAGCCAGCACTCCTCCATCTCAGCCCCTAAGGAGAAGGGGTGTTCTGTGGGCTCCTTTGGAGGCACTTGGAGGAATGGTTCTCTCTTCAGAGATATCTCATGGGGCAGTAAGAAAGAGTAGTAATGATCAGGGTGCTGCTAGCAGAACCAGTGTGGCAAAAAACTTTTGCACACAGAAGCCACTTTCTTCCTGCCTCTCTTTTAATCCCCTCTTGAGAGAGAAATTACTACAATCATTTAGGCTCAACACTCCACAGAAGTTCAAGCAACATTCTCTTCCTAAACAAAAGCCAATGTTAATTTTCAAGATCCTCCTGACACAGGGGTTTAGTTTTGGACTGTGCCTGAGTAAATTGGTTTTGTTTCTATTTTTCACGCATCAAAATTGATATGCAACAACCCTCTGTCTCCTACTACTGAAGCCATTCCCTGAAGAGTTATGCATGGCTCTGTAATAGAGGCATTGTTTTCTTGATCTTTTCTCAGCTCATCTGCTACAGTTTAGACAAACTAATATTTTCCTCCCTTCTGTTACAATAAAGCTGTCGTTTCTGGCACCTTATATGTTGAGAGGGTGAATCTATAACCCGGCTGGTATCATCTCTCTCCAGCAATGGCTGCCTGTTTATAATGCATTTGCCTCCTGTCAGGAGGATGATAGTGAGCGCTTATTGAATGCTCCTGCAGGTTCATTAATATGCATGATGCTCCTCTATCACTTCTTTCAGCACAACCTTTGAAGTTAATATTCACTTTGTTACATATTACAGCTGCCTTGTTACTGGTTTATTGTTTTGGCATATTGTTTCCTTGTGATTTCTTTTGTTCGCTCTGAGAACTTCAAAGCAGAGGTAAAAGCTCTGCTCAGAGTCTGCCAGGCTCCAGACCCTGCCACAAGCACAAGCCACATCCTGCTACCAGCTCATCAAGTACAATTAGCATGTGAGCTTTGGGGTGCACCTGACAGCTCTGCAATGGCCTTCCTTAAACATTGGTTCTTGTAACTTGTCCATCCCCAAATTTAGGGGCCGATGATTTATCAGACGGACTGTTACCTGCACGTTGTTCCATGCTGCTTCTCCTCTGTCCTTCACGCAGTTTTCCAGCCTCAGTGGGGATCCCAGGGCTCCATGCTTAGTATCCACACACAGTCCAGTTCCTACATTGCGTATCTGAAACAGTAAATTAGTCACTGAATCTCCTACTCCTACCAGGTGACAGGAAAGAAGGCTCAAATTGCCTCAAATAGCAGCAATATTTGTAGGGAGACAATTTTTAAGATTCCTCACTTAACTGTGTGTCTGAGCTGGCAGGTAACAGCTGAAAGAAAGCACAGAACTCAAAATAGGACCCATTGCCAGCTGTACCATAACCTCCATCTCACAGCAAAACCCACAGGACTGCAGAGCCCACCGTGATGTTGTGATGGTGCATCCTCCTCACCCACACTGTGGTCTCAGAAATGCTCATTAGGCCTTGGCTTTGACAAACAGCACCAGGGCTCATCTCCTCTTGACCTTATCAGAAACACTGTCTGCCACAGTTGTGTGTAGCAATCCACGACTTCACTCCTGGGGTCACTTTTTAACCAGAACACAGCCAACTTTCAAAAACAGGGATGGGTTTTCTGGCTTTCAGGTGGGGAAGCTAAGGAGCAAAGTAGCTCAACATAGTTGTGAGGCCCTTTGGAAATATTATTGCTCAGCTGCCTCCTCTCCCTAGTCCTCTCTTTGGCATGTTCTGATTCCTACTAAATACACAGCGTGCAGAACAAGCCAAGTCTCTGTTCTCGTTGTAGTTGTGCATTAATAGAAGCAGCTGCCTGCCCAACTGCCTGCTTTGATCAGGCCACTGGAACGTTAGAGGAGTTCTGGGCTTTGAAACATATCAAGCAGATCTTGAAATACTCGCTTGCACCTTACTCACAGCAACCCAGTACCGGAGCACACGGGCGACCTTACAGAACCAAACCACAGCCTGTTTGCCCATCACAGACGTCAGAGCACAAACTTGCCTCTCCCCAGGCGGCTGCTGGAGGCTCCACCGGTGGGTAGAACTTTGGCAAGTCCCAGGCGACCTCGCTCATGAACCACTTGAAGCTTTTGCAGTTGAGGTTGTTGCGAAGCTCCTTCTGGGCCGCGACGTCCCCCGCGGAGAGGTGCCGGTACTCTGGTCTGCGCTGGTAAATGTACTCGGCGTACTCATCCATCCACACCTCAGCCACCCGCTTCAGGTTCTGTGTGGGCAACAGCCACGGGTGAGAACGAGAAGGAAAACCACCTGAGAGCACTGCACAACCCACTGACATTAGCATTCAGAGCAGCTCGCATGTTTTCGCTCAGAAAGGATTTTCATTCACATCCACTCTTTCTCTCCAGCTTCAGGACAGAGATTATTTTTATTATTCTCTAGTTCCAAGGGACTTTCAGAAAGATATTTTCAGTTGAGGTCAAAAGAATCCTGGCACTTGGCCATTATATCTAGTTTCTTGTGGCTAAGAAAAACAACATTAATCAAAAGTTGTTTTTTTTCCTTTTTTTTCTGTAAAGAAACTAGTCAGAACATGATGCTGGTAAATACCACTGGACATTCAAAGGTCTCTGACAAAAAGCTGCTTTCTTAAATCCTTCTTATTGCATCTTCTATATCCATCTAGAAATGGGATTTGCAGTACTCCCTTCTGGAAAGCTTCAGTTCACAATACTCTTTCTTAGCACTATTTTTCCATTTTCTTGGGTAAAACTCTAACATACCTCAGGAATATGGAACTTTCAGGTGATGACCCTTCAGAACAGAAGCAAAGGGTTTACCTCCTGGCAGGAGTACATTTCATGTATTACTGAAAAGCTTAATCCACTGTGGAATTCCAAGACAGCAATAAACACCACCCTCTCGAGACAACCTGCTTGTCACAGCACCCTCGAGACTGCTGGATCTTGGACTGTTCTCTGGTAACATCAGGCACATTCTTGGTGCCAAGACTTGCCATGTGCAGTTGTGACTCCAGTGACCCAGCAGCACTGTCCTGCCCAGCTTGCATGAAGCTGGTCAGTCCTGCAGTGATCGTTTACTACCAAAAAAATTAGGATGCTAAGAGTGAGCAGTGTGCTGACCCTGCCCCGAATGCAGCCTCCAAACAAGGGCAGGTGTTTATCTCAAGGTGACTAAATGATCTTAGATGCCAAGAAACAGCCTTGGCTACACCTGTCTGCATCTCCTTCAAGCACTGTGGGAGTTCATGAGCGCCAAATACTGAATCAAAAGAAACACAGCTCCTTCCTGAAGAGATGGCACAGACAGGAGAGCGCTCTATCGCTCTGACAGGTCATTGCTGGGCTGAGAAATAAATCCAAATCTATAACCAGGGCCGTGCTATTAAACTGGGAAGCATTTTAACACTGTGCAAGCCATAAACTACAGAACAGCAGGGCACCTTTTTGTGGTTTTTAGTTTTGTAGCCTTCCTGCTTCTATGATTTTTTTCTCCCACCAGAGGGCAATGTAATCCCTTCTCAATTTAAAAATTAACTGGAGAAACCCAGTGCATGATAGGCAAAAGCTCTTTCCTCTTTGGGCTACACTAGATTAAGAAATAAGATGGCAGTGAGCATTCCATTGTGGAAAATTACAGCTTGCCCATTCAGTGGTCTGTGATGCTTGAAGTTGAGAGGTCTTTCAATCACCAAAACGCAATCATCACGCTGAAGCCTGCTGCTCTTGGAGAGCACAGCTATAAAATGACTGAAGTATTATACAAATAAAGCCATATCTTGTTTTTATAGCCAGTGCCTGATCACAGAGTCCCTTCCCAGCACCCAGCAGTAGCCTTTGTCAGCTGTCAGCACACATCTTGCAGCTCCCCAGGTTCTCTTCCCTTTGTGCTACACGTCCACCACTGCAAAACTGCTCAACTTGCACTGTACAAGTGCAACTTACAGACCACAAAGCCTATATTTGCCTCTCCATTGAGGGGTCAGAGGAGACAACAGCATGGTCACGTTGCAGTCAGACACATGTAGTGGGGAATGCCACTACCACTTACTCTTGCCAGGCTAACTCCTGTGGGAACCTTGTATGGAACATATTTCCTGTAGATATGACCAACCCTAGAGCAAGGGATGTCCTCCATGCGACCTCCACACATCCATACCTGTGGAACAGCAGAGAAAGAGATTCAATCTTGGTTTATGGAGAAGACTGAAAAAGAAAAAAAAAAAGACTTCCAAGTACTGAAAAAGCTTAACCCAGATTTTTACATTAAAGTACACTCTTCCCAAATCCCCTCCCCTCCTTGCCTTAGTCTCAAATCCTATAACTACCCGCTTAGAGCCATGCAGCAAGCCTTGATTTAGCACAAGTGCTATCAAGCCTTCTTCACAGAAAAGAACAGGGGAAAAAAATCCGAGCACCCAGAGAACAGCACACACCTCACTTTAAACTGATATACATTATTACAGCCATAGTAACCACAACAGTTAAACTGGGCTGCCATAAAAACCCTGGGTGTAGGTTGTGTAACGATGCTGTAAAAGGGAGGCCATCTATGTAGTACAGGTGGTCATGTGTTATGCAAAAGGCTCCAGGGAATTCATGAGCCTGTTCAAGTGCCAGAAATCAGAAGAAACTGCTACTTTTTCCCGTGGTTATATCACTGCTCTCGTATGGTTTCATTGCTGACATTCACTCATTGCTTTTGCAGCCTTACAATTAACTGGAAATCTCTGCCTGGTAACACATAAATAGCTTTAAAAAAGCCCTCAGGAAGTCACTAGAGCACACTGTAGTTGGAGATGACTACCTTGATGCTTGGTTAATGTCTAGATTAGGCCCAGAAGCTTCCTTCCCCATCTGGGAAGATTTGACTCTGTGCCAGCACTCTGCAACAACATTCTTTTATTCCTTATTTATAGCACAGATGTAAAAATTTTGTCCGAGTGAGACAAAAGATGTTTCCTGAACCAGCCAATCTCCTTCGTTAGGTTTAAGAAACATACTCATATGCTTCACAAAAAGACTTAAAGAAAAAGTACCCTTCAGAATGCCAAACAAATGACTTTCTGAATTCCTGGAACACGGCACTGCCTTGCCCTGCAGTTTGTCCCCAGATCCGATGGCAGTGCCCCGAGGGCTGCAGTGTTTAGGCTGGTGCTGCAGTGCTCTTGATCCCCCTGTTCACTGTGGCTAATTTGAGCCACAGCAGTTCACTGTACAACCAGCTTAGTCAACAGCTTCACACATTGCAGGCAATTCCATTAATATTCTACAGCGACAATATTAAATACTTAGCTCAGAAGAGAAATATTTGGCCAAGGCTGCTGCATAATTATTAGCTCTGACACTGAAGTCCTCTGGAGTTTTAGCTCTGTCTGCTGGCCCTAATAATTACAGTCATTTGCTGACTGTGTATAACTTAATGGAGGTTGGTTTCTCTCAGTTAGAGGAATATTTTTCACAGGCAACTTCTAAAGTTCAGGGTATTTAATTACATGTCGTTATGGCGAGAGAGACAAGAAGAAAGTTGACAAACACTCCTGCTACAGGATTTCATTCCTTTTGTCCCTGCTGTGTCTTGAGAGGCTGGTACGGAAGAGATGAAAAAAGAAACTAGCACTCAGCTTCTGTGAAGTTTCTCATGGAATTAGAAATCCTTCTTATTCTGCAGCTGCCGTGCTTTTGGCTGCAGAGGGCCACAGCGCGATTTCGCTGCTGGGACATGAACAGATAGGCTGAGAAACAGGAATTTGGACATGTTTTGCGTTTCTATGACAGAAATGGTTTGTGTAAGGCTGTAAGAGCTGCAACAGATCTGGGAACTATGAAGAGCTGCAGGAGCAGCAGCAGAAGCCCAGAGCTCAGTTGCATAGACACACACACAATCCTTGACAACCTGTATTACCCTTCCCTGTACTCTGCATCAAGCAAGCCTGACAAGGTTCCCAGCAGCTGCATTTTAGTGTAAGACAAGCCTGAGTGCAAACACCAGCCTGTTATCCTTGCTGCCTGCCCAGAGGATGCCTCACCTGCTCCACCTCCGAGTCAGGCCACTGTGAATACACCTCTCCTCTGAAACACGATGTCCCTACCCGTAAGGTGAGCAGCAGAGCCCTGCAGTCAGTACAGCTGGAGAGGAGAGCACTGTCCTTGCACTGCAGATCTTGTGAAAACAGACAGCACTGATTCACAGAGCCCTTTGCTGGAGAGAGGCAGAGGGTGTGAGGAGCTGGACAGAACTGATGGTATGCTGGACCAGGAGCTCCAAACTGCTACAAGACTCCAGGCATAGAAGATGACATTACATGAACACATGTAACTATATGATCAGAAAAGCTGCTTAACTGAGTTACTGAACAAGTAAAATCTAACATCAGTTTTACATACTCTTTTCCTGATCATGCTTTAAAATATTTCCTTCCAAATGATGCTGCAATGGAGGCAATGGAAGGCTTCCTAATTCCTTCTAGCAGAGCTCAGTGACCCTTTCAAGGTACTTCACCAACTTTGTGCCTCTTTAACGGTGTGTCACGCTGCAAGTGACAGTGTGGCACCCGCAGTACAAATCTAATTTTAAAAGCATGCTTTCCATTCATTCGTTGCTGCTTTGATTTATTTTATTAGTGAGCTGCTTTGTGTGGTGACAGAACTCATTACAACCTCCATAAAGACAATTACCAGTCCTTATCTATACAACTGGAAGAAGGGGGAGAGGGAAAGAGCGTGACGTGCATTGGTAAAACACAGCTAACAAAAGCATAAGAAAGCCAGAGTTAAAGGTCAGGAAATCGCATCCAAGGGTCTGTCAAGGAATAACTGCAAGGGAAGAAAACCCAAAATAGCTGTGTGCTCACTAAGGGAATGCTTCCAGTCAGTGAGATTTGGTTGTCTTTAAACAAGGGTACAGTTCCCAGGCATGACACACCAAAATTTACACTGCTAAAAATACCATGCTGTCAGACAGCTGGAACGATGCTGATCTGTGGGGCAGCACCTCATGCCTTCCCCACAACACTGACTGTCACTGACTGCCTTCTCCTTAGAAGGGTCCAGGGGAGCCAGCTTCTTCTTGTTGCTGTTTTACAGAGGGTGAGATGGTGCCTCACTCCTTGGCTGACATGACAGTAAAACATCACAGCCTGAACTTGACACACCTGATTTCAATCAGCCATTTACTAGAACACCGTAAGAACAAGAATTAAAGCTGGACAGGCAGACAGTGCTTTACACAGTAATCTAATCAGATCTCATCAGGAGAGAACAGGAAATTTCTCTTCCTCCTCAGGCACTATTTTGCCAATCTCCATTTTGGGCTTGGAATCCAGCAGCTGACAGATCTGCTGGAATTAAGGGAAAACCTGGCTACACTGAGGTCAACGGGCCTACTGCAACAGATTTAGCTAGGGCCACAATCTCGCCCTAATAATAAAAATGTACACAAGGGAAATAAAATAACAGCACCAGTGATATTACTTCCATCTTCCCAGTGGCCTGGAGAGCTGTAACTCCATATTCATAAAGCAATGCCTGAGCCTTTGACTCAGTCAGTATGCTATGAAAGCACCAGATAATATGCCACCTATTCTCTACATGGGAATGTTATGCTGATCCAATTCCCTTTCTGCAATTTCAGAAAACAATGTCAGGTAAGACAGCTGAACCTCTCCTCTCAAACACACAATACAATGCTGCAGTTGGTGTGTGAACACACATTATCTGGGAATACAAGGTTTATGGTTTCCAAAGACTGCACCATGATGAGCCAATGCTTCCCAAGAGAGGGAAAAACACAAAAGAGAGAGTTAAGCCTTGAAAACAAAGCTGCTCCTGCAAGGCACAACAGAAATGAAGACCATGGGATGGACCAACGGAGAGAAGCTGGTTGGTTGTCTGAGCACACACTGAAAGGTGGGAAGAAAAAGACATAGAGAATCAGGGGGGTTCTCTGCATAACAAGGAAGGTGAGAGGATGAAAGCAAGGGAGACCAATAATTCAGGAAAATTGTAATCCTTTGTATTAGAAGCATCAGCTGCTCCTGCAGCTGGGACATAGTGCTCTATTAGAGATTAAGGTAGCTCATGGGGCACTGGGATCTGCATGTTTGCACAGCACCTTCTCTCACATCACACACCAGCACAGCCCCTCCTCACCGTCTGGAGCATTCAAGAGTAATGACAGCACTTTCCAATAATCAGAGAGTGGAGGGGAGCCCTTCCCTGCTGCTGCTTGGTGGGAGGCTGCTCTGGAACCCAAACAGCACACAGGGTGGACAGAGGCAAAAAATTCAAGCCATTGATCTGAAACTGCTCTGTGCATCAGCACATAGGGAGGAGAAAGAAGCCACCCTGTACTGCAGCCGAGAGCCTTAGAATTAAGCAGCATGTGCTGGCTAAAAAGAACCTCCACAAAAAAAAGCAGCAGAATGCCCGGCCTGTTTCAGTGTGGGCAAACGTGAGCTGCTGGAAAGTGGTGCGAGGATGTGCCTGGAATAAGCAGTGGAGGCTCACAATCAGCACTAACTTCAGCAACACAACTGGAAATGTTCAGAAGGGATCCCTGGGCAGCTGTACCCGAACTACACGCCTGCCAGTGGCAACATGGGAATAAGAAATGTGCTGCTGATATGGGGCACAGGAGATGCAGGCATTAGACTTGTGGACAGAAGTTATGGAGCACTTGGATTTGTTGGAAATCAGAAGCAATCTGTGTTGATGCTTTGGGAAAAGGATTTGGAAAAAATGCAATGATCTACCATCACCAGAATAAATGCAGTGGCTGTTTCCTATTGCTGAAGCACAGAGTGAAGACCACAAGTACTGCCTAGTGAATTTTATTAAGGCTTTACAATCTCTTATTGCTCTTGAAGTACAATGTGCAATTAAGGGATAGAGAACCACACCACTCAAGATCTGAAGTACAAAGTACAGCTATATTTATGCCTATATGAGCCAGAGACATCCCTTTTTACTCTTCTGTTTCCCCATACCCCAAAAAATCAGAGACTATATATTTATGGAAGAGAGGCGTGAAGCAGTTTACTGAAGATTATGTAAGCCAAACCGAAGAGAAGCCAAAAAAATACTGGAAAAGAGGCAACATGATCTCAAATGAAACTGAGCGTAGATAAGTGCTGTAAAAAGTAGCATTTGCAGGAGGGAACAGTTTAAATGCTCCATATATACTGCTCCAAATTAAATGCATTTATGTAAAAAAAAAAAATGAAGTGGTTACGTAGGCAGCTATTAAGTTGTGTTTAGAAGAGGAAAGGCCCATTGTAACTTTGGGTAAAGCATTCAATTTTGCTCACATAATTTCAGGAAGATAAAAAAGACCAGGAAAAGCTGTAAGAGAAAAGAAGTATAGAAGTGACTCCAAAAAAAGCAAGAAAATCCACCTCGATGAAGTCCACTGAACAGAGGAACCACGGCTGTAGTTAGGGGGAACAGAAAGGAAAGGTGACAAGTGCCCCACAGAGACAGCTGTGAATGCTTGTTACCCCTTCTCTAAAATACAAGAACATACTCCGAGGTCAGCAGCTGGGATGGAGGAGATGGAGGAGGAGGAGGAGGAGGAGGAGGAGAATGGTTCTCTCAGAACATGGATCTGCAGAGCAGTTTGCCCGGAGCAAGCAGAGCTCATGGAGCAAAGGAGGCTCATCTGAACACAGGCAACACCTGCAAGGACCACTGGAGCCTGGGACCTGCCTGCTGTGTCTGGGGATGACCTGACACAGGAAGACCTTAACCTGCAGAGGTGCTGGGTTAGAGGCACTGAGCTGCTCTGGATATACACAGGGCAAGAGGAGGAAGAAATGCCTGTTTTCTGCTTGAATATGGAAAGGATAGATGACTCCTCCAATTCCAGTCTAGAAATTTGTTTTAAGGGACTGGTAAAACCCACAAAACTACAAACCAGCAGTTAGGGGTAGAAAGTTTGTTTCTAATGTGAAGTTCACCTAAATTTTTTTGTCCCTCCTACATGCAGTGTTTTCTAGTGATGTTTGGTGTACGCATTTCATACAAGGAGCAAGGCTTCTAGAGTTTGATCCACCCTCCAGCTAAATGTTTTCTGAGGTGCTAAACACTGATGATTTCTCTCTTGGCTTGCCTGAAAATTTCTGCTCAGGAGGAAGCAGAGCCAGCTGATGACAGAAATATACACGATCCCCAAACAGAGAGGCAAGAGGCTCCTAAATAAACTTGTTTATTCCCAGTCTCTCAGCAACAGAGCCCTGGATTTTAAAATAAAGGCAAAATCCAGTAAAGAACAGTCCATGCATGGCCAAAAAAGGAATATGCTTAAGAAAAAAAAAGTCACGAAACAAACCCCCAAAAGCCCTCTATTCCTGGTGAGGCTTGAGAAGGTCAGATCCTATGCAATGGATTAAAGACCAGCAGTACAAAAGAGGACCTGCACCCACAACGCCCAGACACAGGGATGGATTCTTTGTTAAAGCTGGGCTGTAAATCTGGCACGCTCAGAATCTGAAATCCCATGTGATAATAAATAATGTGAAAGCAGGTACCCCAAGCCTAAAGCCAGAGCTTTAAATTATTTGACAGTGCACCTTTAACTACAAAAATCTCAGTCTGCTTCTAAAGGTAAAATCGTAGCTCTAAGCTCGCCAGGAAATGTCATAGCTTCATAAATTCTATGAACAAACCTTCTATTCTTGCAATTCCAGCAGAATTATTAAATCTATCAGCCACAGATGAATGTATCAATTTATCTTAATTTCTGAAAATACACTGAGCCTCTTTCAGTGAAAACTTCATTTTTCTGTTGCACAATGAAAGAAAAAGGGGGGGTCTTTGCAGAGATTAATTAAAGCAAATTTATCCCTCCATAAATTACCATCTCTGGACTGAAATAAACCACAGTGTGTTTCAGAGGGGATAAGCAAACAGATGAATGAAGTAGTCTTATTTCCTGCAGATCAAGCAGAGTGACTGTCTGCTGTGGCACTGGAGACAAAGGGCTTACCCAGCCACTGTCATCACTCTTGGAAACCAGCATTTTCAGAAAGGAAGAAAGGCTGAATACTGACACTGCCCCCCCCGCAGAGAATGAGTGTGTTACACAATTTCAGTACATGCAACCCAAAGAGCAAATGGCTCTAATCTCTGCCACCATTACAGAGGACATGAGACCTCCAAGGTGACTTTATTACTTATGTTTTTTTGTAAGCAAATGATGGAAGAAAAGACTGTCTCAAGAACAACGTCTTTTCTCCCACTGTTTGCTGCCCAGTAGCTCACGGGGTGTATGTATGGCAATATGGGTGGCTGTGGTTTGATATCCTCTGAAATGCACAGGGGCATTGAGATTTAGGAATCTGTCTTAGAAGAGACCAGCCATGACTTTTAAGGGGAGACTTGCAGAATTTTAGCTGCTGAAGCTAAACTGCACTATAGTAGCAGTGCTGCCATCTTCTAGCCCTGTGCTGAGGCCAACTAGCTTAGATCAGTGGCATCCAGACACCTATAAAACTATATATTCAACTTCTGAAACAGAAACCCCAGAGTTTAACATAGAAATCTTTACTCCAGGCTATGGAAAGGATTCCACACTAGCCACCTGCCTTCAAGGGTCTGGGACATTCCAGTGGGTTTCCTAGATTGGATTTCAGAGTGCCATATTGCAAGATAACACAGCGTTGGTGGGTTACAGTGACATGTTACTACTAGTAAGCATTTTTAGTCAGCTGGCTAACTCTTAATTTTAAAGCCCTCAACTGAGCAGCTCAGTCAGTCAGTGAGTAACAGAACTGTCCCCAAGCCAGGCAGATAATGATCCAAAGTCACTGCCAGCAACAGTGCTATTACTCCAGTTGTTGGGGATTTCTTCCTGGGTAATTAACAGACCCAGTTCCTCGCAGCCAGGAGTCAGATGGATTGACTACAGACAGAAAGTTGCTCTCAGCTCTGGGAACTCAAGCTGAGGGCTGAGGTACTCAAATGGGCAAACACTGAGCTGCTGGAATCGTTCTTCCCTCAAGGAGAGGAGTGTTTCCTCCTCTTGCCAGGGTGAGCACTAAGCAGCCCAAGAGTCAGAGAGCTCCACACAAGCTGACTTACCCTTGCTGGGAGGAGCGCATGCATCGGAATCTGTGACCACAGAGTGGGGCCACCCCAGCTAAACATGCTCCAAAACTGACCCTCACAAGTGACTGGTCACACCACCGCTGTTTCTTCTGTGCACTATCTTACTACTCCCAGCTCTTTCACCTTTAGTCACACGCAAAAGCAAGGACAAGACAGATCATTCACATTCTGCGCCTCAGAACAATTCTTACTTTTCAAAACAAAAGTAATTTCCAGAGAACATGGCTCACCTTAAAGGATATTTCATACTGCTCTCCTCCCCATATCTCCAGACCTGCATCATACCCTCCCAGCTCCCAGAACCACTTTCTATCGACTGCAAACAGTCCTCCAGCCATTACAGGAGACCTTAAGGAAAAACCAGACTCCATATTACAAACACATTTAAAGATACAGATCTCTAACTAAACATTTAAAAAACAAAGCAAGATTTGACAAATATTCTTTTCACCACCCAGTGTTCCCGGTGCCTTTACGGCCCTGTCAGAGCAACAAACAGTTGTTTTGGCATTATCTACTGATTTCCCACTTGCAAAGGAGGAGGAGGACCAGATTAGGGTCCCTTCAGAACCAGCCAGTGCCTCTCCTCCAAACAGGTAGGAGTTCACCATTAAGTGACAGGACACAACCTCTCCCAGAGGGACCTGTGTGCTGCACACGTGGTGCTCTGCCTCAGTCGTATGATCAAGTCATCGAGTTTAACCTCAAAAAGAGTTTTGTTGACTTTTTCTTTTAACACTGTATAAGGGACAGCAGAACTGTCTTAGTGGTGGCAAGTACAGCAACAGCAGAACACAACTTCATCACAGATTTATGTCTGCAATGCACTGCAACCATCAAAATCGCTGTAATTATTCTGCTAGGTTTTCTTCTTCCCACACCTGAGAATGACATATAAGCCACCATTGGTTTGTTGTTTTTGGCAGAGCATTAAGGATACTAAGTTATGTTTGGAAGATCTCAGTAATAAATTACCACGTTAGATGTTACACATTACAGTTTTCAATGAAATGTTAACTTCTGTGGGAATTAAGGTGGCAAAAAAACCAGCAATGAAAAGCAGAGTGTTCACAGCTACTATACAATGCATTTCTTTTAAACCAACAAAGCAAACAGCTGCCAAAAAGCAAGTAGCTTAGCACCAGTTTCTGACTTTTACTATGCTGAGATGTAAACCAACCCTGTAACAGGGTGTTATTTCATTAGCTGGCTCTTAGCCCGCTGTGTTTCAGTAACTTACTCAAAGGGATCACTGGGATCAGGTTTCTGTAACTCAGGAGGAATAGGGATCCTCTTGTAGTACATCTCCCAGTCAAATGCCCCTCGCATTGCATCTCCAGCCTGAGTCTCGTATCCAAAGTGGTCATGATCAATAACATCAATCATAGGGCAAACGATAGTCTTGCGGTTTCGGGCAATGCGATCTGAAGATTGGAGAAACACGTTAGAAAACCCGCACCAGCTGGCTCCTTTGACCACGAAATTACAAAAAAAGAGCGTCAAAATATGAAGTTGTCCAGGAACGACACAGTTTTCTTCCCATTCCTTCTCTTTTGGGCAGATGCTCCAATTTATATCAATTTGTCTGCTACTTCTGCAATAATTAATAATTGAGATAAAAACACCAGGCAATCATCTCCCAGAAACAGAATAGGAAGACACAGGCACACTACAACAGATATCTGCACTGCCAAGCTAAAACCAGACCCTCTTGTGCTCACTGAGCAGTCCTCATTTTCACAAGCAACTGGGGTGTGACCCTTTCTGCATGGATCCAAATCCAGGGAAAAAACTCACTGCACCACCCAGCTCTAATTGCTATGCCAGGATCTGGCAGAAAGCGTTTCAGACTAATGGCATAACTACTCTCAGCAGGCCCAAGAAAGGCAAGTGTTACCTCCTCCCCTCCACCTTTTCTTCCAACCAAATACAACAACACAAGATTAATTCCTGCATAAGCATCTGGAATTTCTTAAATACTTTATTAGTGAGACAGTCTCCTGTTGGAAGTTAACTTTCAGAGCAGAGGTGACAAATGATGTCTCAGCTTCCAAAACACGTCTAACACAAATCCTTTCTGTGCTTTAAAATCAGAGCATACTCTACGTGTTCTCATTTAAATGACATTTGAGCTAATTCTGTCCTCCCTCCCAGGGGCTCATAAAGCTGCAAATGTTTTACACTATTGCCAGATACAAGCTGTAGTGAAAGCAAGGGGATAACCATCCAACAATCCTGTGGACAAATCTGACTTGTGTTTCTTAAACCTCCACCTGACTATTGTTGCCAAAGTCTATGTGACAAAGTCACACCTCAGAGAGAGCTTTGGCAGGTCACTTGCCATGGGCTTGTAAAGGAGTTTGGTACTGGCCAGAGGCAGACAGGTACCAGAAACAGATGACACTGTCCCTTCAATTAATCATCTCTGAAAAGAGCTGACATTGTCAAACTGATGACTCCTTAAAGATGAAGCACTGCCTCGGAAAAGAGTGCCCATGTTCTACAAATACATACCAGCAGCTCTCATTCACAAGAAGTATTTTCCACAGGCTCGCAAGTATTAGTTAAATATAGCTATATAGGAGACAAAACCCCTAAAAGCTACTTAAAACCTGTATGTACAGATCTTTTCTGTATGAGAAAGCCATTCCTCTCTGCAAGCTGGTGAATGACCATGTGATAGTTTACTTTTCTAACAAGTTGTAAATTATTTAAGATTTCATTTAGTGAGGCATGAGAAGAATATGATCTCTGCTCTTTAATTAACCAAAGCATATGACAGGGTTATTGCACAGTGTAGGACTGCAGAACAGAAAAATTCTTGTATTAAAGGCTACAAGTCGCCAACAATTCGCTTGAGTCTTTTGGTTGGTTTGTTCTCCCTTTTATGATGTTTCATGTTCCTTTTGTCCATTTACAGTATGAGAGGAAAGCAGTGGGTGGAAATAACCCAAATTTAACCCCCCCCCACTCACCTAACAGGGGTGGCAGCCAGTTCACGTTGGCCTCGCAGTGGGAATCCAGGAAGGTGATGACGTCCCCTATGGCCACAGAGGCCCCCAGCATGCGAGTCCTGATCAGCCCTTCCCTCTTTTTGGTTCGGAGGATTCGTACATTTGGGAACTGGGCCATATAATCCTCCAGGCGTTTCTTCAGGTGTTCTGCACGAAAAGGAGAAATTTGAACACTGTAACAACTAATTTCTTAAAAATGCAGCTCCATCTCTACCAGAAGGGGATGACTTTGGAAGTACGACCTGAACAGTTAACAAATGCAGTAACAGGAAAAAGGAAGTAAGAATAATTGCTTTTAAATTCCAGGTTTAAAAATAACTGCTTAAGCGAGACTTTTGAAGATGTTCCAAAATCTTAGAAGCAATTAAACAGAAAAGAAAAAAAGAAAAAAAAAAGGCACTAGGAGAAGACGAAGGAGTGCTGGATGAGAAAGAAAGCAGCAGAGGAAGAGGAAAAGGAATAAAAAAAACAGATGTCAGACCTCAGTTGGAATTCTTGGACACTTGTGGAAAACCAGAAGAGACACAGGGCAATTTACTTTCAGAAGTAAACTGCACTCAGTGCATCAGTGCGTTTAAGCTGTGTTTGGTTTCTTCAAAACACACAACATAACATCCACTCATGCATAAATAAAAACCAGCAAAAAGCCTAGTCAGACACCCCTCCAAGCCACAAGGCAGGTACAGCCACAGTGGGTGTGGGGGTGGCTTTGTTATGTGCTTATCAGAGCAGATATTTGCATTTAAATACGGAAATATTTACGCTGCTGAACATGGACTGGAGCCACATCTGAATTAGCACAGACACTGGCAGTCACCATGATTAACAAGAATTCAAACAGAAAAGCTGCAGAGGAAGATCACTGAGTGATCAAAACAATGGATAGCTTGTTCCAAAGTGGAGATAAGAAGCTTGGTCTACATAAAGAATAAGGGGCACACAGCTGTCTTTATATCAAAGAGTGCAGCAGCAAAGAAAAACCTAAAAATAGGCTGAGCTGACCTGGCCTCATCACTAATGGGTTGATCTTTCAGCATCTGAAGCTCTGACTTACTTGACAGCAAACCTCATTGAGAGCATGCCAGGGACTGTTCATTAATGCCCCACAGCACCCACTGCCATCAGCAACCCATGGAGGAAAGAAGCCTTGCTGGGCAAAACTTAGCTTGTTAAATCTAAGCAAACATCTTAAAACCTCACGCAACAAAACCTGAGTAGAGGCAATCACTGGAACACAAATAACCTCGCAGGGTTATTTGTCTTGCCTGCAGGGAACACATCCACTCCATTCTGTACAGCACAGTCCTCCTCAGCTTCCAAAGCAGGCATGAAAGGCAGGGGCTGGAAAGGCCAACAGCATGAAGTGCCCTTGAACAGGGCACCAGGGAGGCCGGGCATTGGAACAGCTCTCTGGAAAGAGCAAAGGAGCAAATAAACTTAACCCAGTTCTGAGCTCTCCCCCTTGGTGCTGACCTGGCAACTGTGGAAAGAGGCAGAATCCCTGTGACTAACACACATTCTGCACCTTCCCTTTGAAGCAGCCATCGCCTGCCTTCCTTCAAAGATCACCCAAATCAACTTCCTTGCCTTTGAGGTATTCCTAGCAAGCTCTTTGCCCTGTTCAAAGCTTTGTTCATTCCCCAGGATTTTCTTTTCACAAATCCATTTTAGTGTTTTGCCTGGCAAGTCTAATTGTCCCACAATATCTACACAGGTTTCCCTGCTCAATAGAGCCCTCAGGACTTCTTGCTGTCTAGTGTGCTTTTCCCTCATCCTTTTCAAATCTCTTCTGAATAGATCCTCTCAAGCAACCAGAAATTTTGTCCACTCAATTACAGATTTTTCAAATGAGGGCCCTCCACAGAGACCAGACGTATTATTAGCTCAGCTGCCTTCCTCCTGAGGCACTGGGTAGACTTAAAACAAGAGGAAAAAAAAAAAGAGCGAGAAATGAAAAAGCTACCACCACTGTTTAACATCAGAGCACATCCCTTGCCATTGTTAGTTTATCACAATAGACTGTTTCATCAGAGAGAACAAACAATCCTCACTTCAAGCATAAATCAGCTAAGCCCAAGACAGGAGGTAGACCTTAGTTAATGTACCCAAGACCAGATAAACAAGAGAGTGGCTGCTGGTGCTCATTAAAATAAAGGAGGGAACCATCACACAGAAGCTCTTGCTCTGATTCCCCAACAGTAGGCACAGATACTGCAGCACTTGGAAGATCAGACCCCAAACCAAACCTCTGAAACACTGGAAAGTCTTAAAAAATCCAAAGCTCTCAAACAATGTAAAATATATAGAGAACTTCTGCAACTCTTTATTTTGATTGAAATGAGAAAACGAGACTGTGAAAGATCCCAGAGGTTTGTCTTCCATCTGTGTGCTGGTCATTTTACATTTCAGCATCATGTATCTTTCTGAACTGTTCTGATTTGTTGTGCAGTTTCATCTGTGCTGATGCCTGAAGGCAGCTGAACCAATTCCTCCAGGGGTAGGAGCAGAGCACGCTCAGCCTGCTACCAAACACGAGTGTGTTTGGGGATCTGGTCCCACACATGAACACACACACCCCAGAAGGTGAATAAAGAGTCACTGGGCTTGGCCATATTTGTCGTGACAATGACAGCTGCTCTGCCCCAGACTGACTGAGGACAGGTTGTTTTATACCTATTAATGAACAAGCAGCAAAAAACTGAGAGATTCCCCATTTTTATTGTGTTACAGGGGAAAAGAAGGCACAGGAGCCTGAGTTTTCTCAGGTGAGTAGTCTGCAAAGAGACAGCAGGGAGTCTAATCCACTGACTTCCCACTGCATTCCCAAATGCTGGGTTGGTTCTTTAGCACTTCTTCACTACATTTCCATAGTAAAAAAATAGCAAAGCATTTCACACTTGCAGTGGGTAGCCTGCTGTACACTGCACTGGTGAGAAGTGTCTCACATCAGGAATATTATGTCTCTGATGGCTGGGAAAAGCAAGGAAAAACTGCAGGAACACCATCAGCACCCACGTATTCACACTGCTCTGCAGGGGACACACGGACTGAGTGCTGTCCTTCAGCCAGCAGGGATGATGCTCAGATAAACTGTTCCCAACTGCTGCAGAACAATCCACATTTGATCACTGCGTTTTATAAGGTTAAGACTTCTGTATCATGAACTGCAAGTAGGCAGAGTTTATTGAATTTGCCTTTCCTAACTAAACAGTCACAGACTTCCAGGCAACCTCACAATGTACAAAATTCTATAAAATGTACTCTTCAAAGACAGAGTTTTCTTATTTCCTTATCCCTGGGCTATTCCTACCACCCAGGCTTCTATATGCCCAGATAGAAAAATACTTATTTCGTTCTATTTCAAGTACTGGCACAATTTAGCCAATTTTTGCTTTTAAAAGAAAATATCAAAAAAACAAACAAGTGGCATTAACTGCTAGAAAATTTTATGGGGCTTTAAAAAAATATGCTATGGAATCTTGTCACACTGAGTAATTCTTATTACAAGGACAATTTTCTTTAATGAAAGTTGTTAGGTGAACTGGATGGATTCCAATGGCTGTGCCTACGCTGGGCACAGTAACACAGCCCAAATATATAAATGAGAGTAAGATTATCTGCAGATTAAAAACCAGGCTGGTAGCTTGCTAACAGACTTTGCAATAAACTTGATATACAGCGTATACATTAACAGCACCAGTCAAGAACTACTGCTTTCTTTACTTTGAGCTGTAAATAAAACTGTGTGAAGAGAGCAGAGAAGCTTCAACAGCCAGCCTGCTTTACAGAAGCAGCCCTAATGCTTTCCAGAACAAGACATTTTCCCCCCCCCCAGGTCAAATTTCCATGGTGGTCTTACTGTACTTCTTCCTACTGGCCTCATCCAAGCAAAGCTGCCCTCAGAGGCCACTAGTCTGGTGACCGTTTGTAGTATGGCAAGGGCTTTCCAAGATGGGAATTTCTCATGTCCAGTTGACTTTTCATTCCACCCACTGCACGCCCACCACCTGAACAAGCACCTGAGACATTCAAAACCAAACATATGCAGAAGCTGGAGGAGGACAGAAGGGTCCAAGGATTTTTTTTTTTTTTTGGTACAATTTAAATACATAAGAAACAAGAGAAGGTAGACATGGATCTATGGGAAAGGTAGCACTGGAGTTTCAGGGTCCATGGGAATCAACTGTTCAAGTCACCATCCTGGAAGTGGTGGAGTCACCATCCCTGGAGGTGTTTAAGAGGTGTCTGGATCTGGTGCTGGGTGATGTGGTTTAGGGGTTCAGGGTTTACAGTGATAGCACTGGGTTGGACCTGATGATCTTAAAAGTCTCTTCCAACCCTGATAATTCTGTGCTTCAGAGTCAAAGCAGCAGCTAACTCAATCCACCCCCTCACAGCAAACCATGCAGCCCCTCTCCAGGCAGCATCCCTGCCTCCTCCCCGACTCTTTCACACCCCATCAGCTCAGCCACCTTTTCTCAGAGGCTTGTGCCAAGTCACCAGTAGGTTTTTAGCCTACTTTGAACTGATTTGGTCCTGATCAAAGGCATTTCCCCACAGAAATCAGAGGAAGAGATCCAGCAGTTCTCCAGTTTCTAACATCTTTCCTGCATGCCTAAGTTCAACAGCTATTTGCCTCAAGAGCTGCTCTGCAGCACAAAGGAACCTCACTCCCTGGAGCTCACACGGCTTGGTTTTACAACTGGCTGCAGCTGCTGTAGTGACAGCTCACAGAGGAAGCCTGGCCTGTTTTGTGCCCTTTTCTCTTCCCCAAATCACACACCAAGACATAACATCTTTTTATGTATGTCCCTGCAACATCTCTGCAGTATTTGGCAGGGAAGGGAGTATCAATATTTGTCATTGAAAAAAAATTAACTCATTTTAAGTAACAGCCAGGACTTGAAACTATTAGAAATTTATGTCCTGAGAAAGAATTATGAATGAAACACTTCCCCTGTCCTACTAGTGGAACATTTCATGGTTCATATGATACTATCAGCTTTGGTTTCTGAATTTTACACTGTACAGCACATCTGCAACTCCAGAGCCCTTTGCCATATGTGTGTCATCAACCCAATCCAGAATGAGCAGCGCTGCAGAAATCGGAAACATTCCCAGACACCTTCCCACGTTACTCAGATGCC